GTAGCATTACTCTTTTATTTCAAGTTGTTGAAGGAAAAGATGTTATGAATTTGGTTTTTTTATTTCATGTTGTTTAAAATTTTATTTCATGTTGGTACAAATCAAGTTTAAAATTTTATTTTATGTTGTTTAAAATTGGATCACCATTAGATACATTGACAACAATGTTACTATATAAAATAATTTTACTTTGTATACTTTCCATTTGGTCAAGTTATAAGTAAAAATCTTTTCATGCGTAGCTGAAACTTGTTACATGTATTATTAACAGAGACATTAATAGGGAGGAGTTTAATAAAGTCATGACTTTGATGAGATCTTAAAGCAAACAAAACAAGGATGGCCACAAGCTCAAAGTTTATGTAGAAGATGGAGGCCTACTTGAGCACGTCTTTTGTTTTTTGTTTTTTGTTTTCAGGGCCTTGTCATTTTATCATACTTCATTTTTTTCTCTGGCAGTCAGCTGATTTGGAGTTTTCTCATTACGACTACAAAGAACAAGGAACCATATAAGCTAAAGAAATTATAGAAGTCTGGAATAAAATCCATACAAATCTTACGAAAGTTTATTAAAAAATTATATAGAAGTCTTTTGAAAGTCTATCAAGTTCTATACGAATTCTAAAGTTCCATCAAGTTTTATGAAAGCTGGCACTTAAACAAAATCTTTAAAACGCTCCATAATCCTAATTGAATACACTCCCTAAGTAGTATTGCTCTAAACTTGCATTTAATGTGAATTCATTTTTATCCCTAAAATTGACAGAAAATTAACGAAAGTAAAGAAAATAACTAAACATGTGGCAAATAGTTGAGTTGATCGATAATTTTTGCTCCAAATTACCCTCGTCTAAAATATCAAACAAATAGGAAGCTTCCCTTCCCTTCCCACCTCATACTGCTACTGCCACTTTCCTGGTCACATTTTATTCCAAGCGTCGGTTCTCTTAACAGTAACAGTTTTTGTTGTATCGGAGTGTTTGGTTTGGCTCGTACAATGCCTAGGTGGGATTTGGGATCGCTTTCTCGTCTTAAAAACTTCAGTGGCCTCTTTCAGGTTAGTGGGTTTTATGCTTTTATACTAAAGTTCATGGCTTAATGGGATGCATATTACGGAAGTATATGGGTAAAATACCATGTGGGTTTGGCTGTTTTTGATGTAATTCAGTTACGTTTTTGATGATTTGTGTCTTTGCTCAAGTTAGTGCGTTACTGATTGAACTGTTTGGTTATTCTATGAACAAAAGCTCACTTTCTTTTAGACAGATAGATTTTCCTTTTGCATACCAGGCTTCTTTATCCCTTTAGTTTTGCAACCTATATATACTGTGATCCGTTTGTGGCATCTTTATATTATAAACTTTTAGTAGATGTTCTAAAGTGAAATAGATGACTGGGGTTTGTGGCATCTTTATATTATAAACTTTTAGTAGATGTTCTAAAGTGAAATAGATGACTGGGGTGATGTTTAATTTTTGGATAATTTGTTTGAAGGTAAAAGTTGCTAGATAAGTGAAGGTTGGTTCGTTTTGGGAATGAATGTTCAAGGGATGAGAGTTTATTGTACTGCTAATCAACCTGGAACTTTAGAATCTTGAACTGTTCAATAACTTTAGACATCAAATGGAAATTTTCAGTTGACTGCTAGAATGCTTCAATCCATCAGCCTTACCACCAAAAACCCCCAAAAAGAGAGATAGAAAAAAGTAAAACGAAAATGATCTATTAGTTGGATTAGTCTTACTAGTACATCCCCCCACCTCCACTTCTGATGTTCTCTTTAGAGTAACAAAATATTTGGGTTGCGCTTCAGTGATAAAGTTTTTGACTGCTGTAGCTCATTGTTGTACATTAGGTTTATGTAAGGGAATGGTAGAACGGATTTTCAAAGCCTTAGAAGCTGCTTTGTAAGCGTTGTTATTAATTACAGCCTCATCATTATGCTCGTTCCTTCTTTCTTTATGCTTGAGAAGATTTTTTCTGCTGTTTCTTCTGTCTCCTTATATTGTTCAAAGGAACTTGTAATTAATCAATAATTTGTTCTTTCTTCCTCTGCTTTTCCTGGACAGTCCTAGATACTGTGCTTCCAACTGTAGTTTCTTTGGGCTATGTGCCACTGTTATTCTGGATTGACATACCTTGTGATGATAGTATGCGGATTTTAGTCAAACATAATTTTTAGTAGCTGTGCATCTAAAGATACTGAATTGTGTGCCATAGATTTATCTCTCTGTGTAGCTTTAGAAAATGAGTGCGGCTTTTTCTACAGTGCATATGCCAGTAGTACTTGAATTCAAAGTTTAGGTTTCTTAGTGTTTGTCTAGGTGATACAGGGATCTTGTAGGGAGGTGGATGTTAAATTGATAGTACTTAGTATGTAGTTAGAGTAGATTGGCCAACTTTCTCTGCTGATTCCATAAATATTTCAAGCCCAGAATCAACAAAGTTCATATCCGTTACACGGAAAGTTTGAGTTCAGGATTAAGTCTAATGAATCTGGTGCCCTGATATTTATCCCCCTGAAGGTTGATTTTCTTTTTTTGGGGTTATCTAGGATGTGTCAAGCAAGAAGCTGGAGATTTCTGCTGTTAATAGTGATTCATTTACACCCATTGACCTTCCATTGATAGGACACAGGGAGAATGAGGTATTTATTTTCTTTTGCTAAATTCTTGGTGCAGTGAGCATAGCTATATCTTGAGTTGATAAAATTTAAACCCCGCAGCACCCTTTTTTCTGTTTGGTGGGCAGAAGGGTTCAAGACAGTTAAATCACAGTTTTTTTCATTAAAACATGGGCTACTATATTTTTGGTCACTGTAGTACGAGCCCAATCTCATTCTGTAGTTTCAGTTTAAACATTTATATGCCCTACTAGTTTACTAATGTTTGCAATCGGGTCCAAGATAACATTTCTACCAACTTGGTTGACAAAATGGCATGGGTTAGAAATGTGGAAGGAAAAAGTATAATTAAAGATTAGGTTTCAGCTTTCACCATTAATTTTTTTTTTTAATAATATCCTCAATCCCTAAATTTCCTTTTCAGAATCCCTAATTTGTAAGTGAAATCCTCTTCTCTTTCTCAAAATCATATGTAATAGAAGAGAGCTAAAAGTCATCACCCAAGAGGCATGTGCTGTTTTGGCCAACCAATTTGACAGAAATGTAATTTTGGAACAATTGCAAACCTTACCAGGCTACAAGTGCCTATAATTTTAACTTAGAACTACAGGGATTAGTGGAATTGTGCCCAAAGTACATGGACAAAATATAATTTAGCTGAAAGATACAATTATGATTCTTGTGTGATGTAGCTTCTTTCGCTGGAATGTAAATTGATAAATAATGTGATGTATGATGGATTTCTTCCCTTGTTGACTGGCTGGAATTTATCTGGAAAATAGAATGTAAGAATAGATCTATTCCCTCCTTTCACTTATCTGTTCTTTGAGATTTAAGACAAAGCAACATCTATCTGGTTCTCATATATAAATACATGATATACTTGTAGGAATGAGAAAAGCCCTTTGTTTTTATTATCTTCGGCAGGCATCAAGTTAATTTTCCATTCATTTTTGTTGCATAAACGTTTTAACTGTTTGAAAGTTATTGAGTTATATAAGTAACAGCATTTTACCTTGTGACCATTCAACATGTGAGTCAGTCCTGTCATCTTCTCAAGCACTAAGATTGGAATTCACGATTTTCTGTACAAGGTTGATAAGAAATCGGGTCTCACATGAATGATGATGTACCACACTGAATGAGTTGTGCAGTTATGCTTGGACCTCATCGTTTATGCAGACAAATGAAAAGAAATCATGTTTGACATAGATGTGGTGTGTCTCAAACATCTAAAAATTCAGACACAAATACTGGCCAATATATATGTGCATGTTTTGAATTTGTGAAAATCTATATGGCTTGTGCACGGCATGGTTGTTAACCACCCTTTCCCCCTCCCCACAAAAAAAAATCTTAACTGAGGAAGAAAATTAAGTGATCATCTTTCCATTTGAGCATATATTTTCTTGGAAAAGAACCTATATATACTAAGTTATTATGAAAATATAGCCACGTGTTATTTCTTGAGAAAAATGCATAATGTTGATAATTCTGCACTCCTTTGAGGTAAATGAAGTTGAATTCCTTGTAAACATCCAAATGAGTGGCCAATGGTTGGACACAAGCGCAGGGTTCTAAGGTGTCCAGTCCAACATGGAATTTTTTTTGAGGAAGAAGTGTCCTTAATATTGTAGGCTAGTACCTTTTCTGTGACGCATGAAAAGTTGAACCAAACAATAATCAAACTTTAACTTGTACCTAATGGTAAGGGGAATGTCTCCTTCACATGTCTGGTATTGATTATTTATATTATAATTTCTGCATCTTACTCAATGTAAGAGCAGCAATAGCAGTCCATATTATTATAAAACTCAGCTTCTTCATGCAGTGTTGATTGTATCCGTCTCGGGATTCTGACACACCCTACACTGTTTCAGATAGTTGTTGCTTCTGTACGTATTATTTATGGCGGTTTTTGTTTCGATTTCATCTTCTGGCAGGGCTTACCAACTTGTGCAATCCACAGCTCATTTGCTCTAATGGTTCATAATTTTGTGGTCATTTCAATTTTGGATGGCTGTTATTCCTAATAATGTGCCATCTTTATTGCATTTAGAGCTCACCTTGTGCATCTGTTTCCTGTTTTGCATTAGGATCATTCTCTGTGTTAATCATGTGAGCTATATTTGTTTTCTTCTACTTGCCTTTTATCGTGTTCATAGCTTATTACATATTTTCTGGAACATTGTTTTTTTTCAGAAAACTTTTCCATTATGGTCACATGTAGTATCATTGTTTGGTTGTGTGTATGTATAAAATGTTTTTATTTAAGTTATTTATCTTTAAATCTATCTTTTTCTCTGTGCTTTGTGGTGTTGGCTTTTTTTTTTTTTTTTTTTTTTTTTTTTTTTTTTTTTTTTTTCTACAGAATAAAATGCAGGAAGTTCAGCTTGGTTCGCATACTGTAAGGTCCCATGGGATGACAGTTGCTAGGACACACATGCATGATTGGGTGATACTAATGCTTCTTGGGTTGATAGTTGTCATCCTGAATGTGATTCATCCCTTTTATCGCTTTGTGGGAAAAGATATGATGACTGATCTTAAATATCCCTTGAAAAGTAACACCGTGCCTGTTTGGGCTGTTCCTGTGAGTTCTCAGCGTTCTGCTATTATCGTATGATCCCATATTTACAGATATAGTATTTGAATACTGAACTGATGTGATGCTTCTCCCTGCCCCCATTTTGGAGGGTTAGATTTATGCAGTTGCACTGCCCATAGCAATTTTTGTTGTTGTCTATTTTCGTAGGAGAGATGTCTATGACCTTCACCATGCCATACTAGGTGATCAATTTTCTGACTATTGCTTTATTTTAAGTATGATTGTCATCGGATACCCCATTTGCTGAAGAAGATACAATAGAAAGACAGGAACTGATGTTTAGAAGTTGTTACTGCAGGTCTCTTATTCTCTGTTCTGATAACTGCGGTTATTACAGATGCTATAAAAGATGCAGTTGGTCGACCCCGGCCAGACTTCTTTTGGCGTTGTTTTCCAGATGGAAAGGATGTATGGCATTCTAGGTTCACAGTTACTTTATTGTTATTGGAGGGCAGTCTTCTTTTAGCAGATTAATCTATGATGCTTTTGGCAATGGAAGTTAATAACTAATTTCTTCTCAGGTGTACAATCAATTGGGAAATGTTGTATGCCATGGTAAGAAGAGTGTCATAAAGGAGGGGCACAAGAGTTTTCCAAGTGGCCATACTTCATGTAAGCAGCAGCGTACTGTCTGGTATTTTCTATAATTTACATGCCGACAAGAAAAAGATTTTATATTGTTGATAAATTTGGCATTATTAGGGAACGCATAATACCACTTGGTTGATCATGTGATACCAGCACTATATTTACCTGAATCTTTTGTAGACTTGTTAACTTTGAGGAAATTTGGGTACAATGTGCAGTTTCCTTTGCTGGTCTAGGATTTCTCTCACTGTATTTGTCGGGAAAAATAAAAGTATTTGATCGCAAAGGCCATGTCACAAAGCTGTGCATTGTTTTTCTTCCTCTACTTCTTGCATCACTAGTCGGCATTTCTCGTGTAGATGACTACTGGCACCACTGGCAGGACGTGTTTGCTGGAGGTCTCCTAGGTTTGTGTCATAATGAATAATAACTAACTACTCACTGATCCTTACGTGGTCAATAACTATCATGGAAACATTTTTTTTCAGGATTTATAGTTGCTACATTTTGCTATCTGCAGTTCTTTCCACCCCCATATCATGCTCAAGGTACATTTTACTAAGAAAATTTTATATGGGTGTTTTTGTTTTGGGAAAATAGTTTCTAGAGCTGTTGCTTTTATGGTGTTGTGACATTTTGTTAATAACATTTTCTTAGAATGATATTTTTTATGTTTCTTCTTTCTTGACAGAATTGATAACACAATTCCAATGGCGTAGACATGTTACATTTTTTTCTTTGCTTATCAATGATGATGCTCCTTTAGTGGTCACTTCAGTCGTCTCTAGAACTGACCAGAAGTTTTACTCATTGATGTCTGTCCATTGCATTTGTTTTGATGAGTGTGTGTGTAGGTGTCACAAATACAACTGGCAACTTAGAAAATATGTTCAGCATTTTAAGAGAATTGCCATTTGTTAATTTGGTAATTTGGCTCGGCATTTTAAGAGAATTGCCATTTGTACCATGGAAATAGATAACAATTAGGTATCAGACAGGCATTTCTCATACCCAAATGAACATAGGCCTTGTTCTAAATTGTGTTAATAATTTTGTAGCGATCTGATTTTCTGTACATCCATTTGTAGGTTGGGGCCCTTATGCTTACTTCCAGGTGTTGGAGGAGTCACGTTCGGTGACACAAGCAGCCACTATAGTAAATGGGTCCAATGTGCAGGTCACAGAGGCTCGGGTTGAGAATCAAGAAGACGAAACTAGCATCCATGGATGCATGGGGTTATCATTAGCACATAATTCTGGTTCAGCATTGGAAGAACTGGAATCTGGGAGGAGATAGTTTTGCACACGAAGGTTACTTTAAAGTTTGGAGCTCTCGGGGATCGACTCCCGGCAGTGTACATTTTGTAGAGCAATGCCACGACCTAAATTCATAGGAACTGTACCTTCTCTTCCAAGCTTGGCCTCAGGAATTTTTGAAGGACTGTTTATATTCGTACTTAATATGATTGTTGGTATATAAATTTTCTGCAAGTATTTTATTTATTTTTATAGTTTCTGCCCAGCTGCCCACATGCATGTTGAATGGATTAATTTTCATCCTAATGACATGCAGACAAATGGAAACAAGCCCAAATGAGAGAAAGCAACACAAGCCCCAATTTGTTACCTTATTTTTAGACGAAGCAATAACTAAACAAAAATGTTACCTTAGTTTTCTTTTGGGGAGTATAATTCACAACCCTAATTTGTTGAAACCACTTCTCTACCAAAAATTTCCTCCAAAATTCTAGTTTTATCCCTCTTGTTGAAGCCTCCCCTTATCTCCTGGGTTGACATGAACGTTTGAAGAACATGATAAAGGGTAATTTGCCCACCCTTATTAATCAAGTTCTTCTATGTAACCATTTTTAGAAACGAAACAAATGAAACACTGCCACATCAGTTGGTAAAAGTTGGGAGTATCTGGTATTACTCTTACATTTTTTTTAAATAATTAAAAACAAATATATTCTTGGTTTTTTAATTATAAAAATATTGTCTAAAGGGCTAATTAATGTAATTGATTCTGTTTTCGATACAAAAAATAAGGATGGTTCTACATATGGTATGTAGACTTTACTTTTTATTTACCTTAACCAAAAAATAAAAAATAAAAAATAAAAAATTCAGGAATTAATTATGATTGAGCACAATGAGATTATGTAGTGAACCACAAGCAAACCACTCTGCTATATGGGTCAAGTAAACTCCAGTTTTTTTAGATCTGACAACACGAAAGGGAGGTTTAAGAAGCCATTTTCTGTTCTCCAAACGGCAAAAGTTCTTAGAAGCCATTTAAGTGAAGGTTTGTTCAATTTCTATATTCTCTTCTCTTTACTTGATGTATTACGTTCATACATGTTTCTTTTAGTTTGCACAGCCCCTTAAATGAGTTTTCCTATATGTGGGATCGAAACGCTTTCGATAATTAAGTGCAATTGCTTAATTACTTGTGATGATCTGTATGAAACATTTGTTCAATGATAAGTCTGTAGGGTGCTGTTGATCCAAACACATGCTGTAGGATTATTTATTTATTTTATTTTCCACCTATTTCATTTCATGTTCTAACTAGTTTTCTTGAGCTTTGTTTTATCATGAGAAGGAAAAACAAAAAGATCAAAGAAAATCCAATTTTGAGAGTGTACGAGGCTAAAATTGGCTAAATTGGAGTCAATTCTTCCTACTCAAAAAATGGCTATTTATGAAACATATATACTGCGAATCTCACATTCCCTTAAATCATATTTTGTTGTTGTTGGTGTTGGTGTTGGTGTTTAGAGCAGAAGAATTAATATGGGCCGTGGAAGGCTGAAGATGGAACTGATAGCGAACGAACGAGCTCGAAAAACAACTTTTCAGAAGAGAAGGAAGGGCATGATGAAGAAGGCCTACGAGTTTTCAACTCTTTGCGAATTAGATGTCTGCATGGTCATCTATGGCCCTAAACAGACTGATCGGCCTCCTGAACTCCACACGTGGCCCGAAAACCGCGACGAGGTTGACCGCATAATCAACAAGTACAAGGCCAGCATCATGCGCAAACCAGCCAAGAAAACCTTTGATTTGTCTGACTTGTTGAGGGACCGAAAAACCAAGGTCCATGTTGACATCTACAGAGCGCGGAAGGAGATGTATGAGGCCAAGTATCCAACATGTGATGAACGTATTGAAAGTTTCTCCGAAAATCAACTGGAGGCGCTTCTGAATACGTTGGACACAAAGCTCGAGTCTGGCAAGAGAACATTACTTAACAAGAGGAAACAATCAGCTGAATGCCATCAGCATCAAATACATTACATGGGAAAAGCAGCACCAACCAAAATAATGTTGATGGGTGGAAACCCTAATAATAATATCACTGGTGAATCATCAAGTCAAAAGCAGCCTTGTAACTATTTCATGCAAGGCCATGTGCATGAGGAGGACCAAAAGCCTATAAGATCTTTGAGTAATAATATGGTGGATATGAATCCAGTCTCATCATTTGATCATCATCATCATCATCAGTCGTCTGATCAAATGCTTCAACTTGACAATTCAAATGAATATTTGAATAGTCTTATGGCTCATAATTCGAGTCCCATGGCAATGTGGATGTTGATGGAGAGCAACTATAACTATAGTACTCTTCAGTTCGGCTCAGGGGCTTCCAGCAGTGCTCATTCTCAATCACCACTGGAGGGGTATCAAAGTAATTTCAATGATCCGATGATGCAGTCCGCGGTGGACAATATGAATATGAACATGATGATGTTAAATGGCAACATTAATCCTCCAAGTTCCTCATCCACGAGCCAGTACTATGCTCGGCTAATGCAGCCAACTGTGCCCTACATGCAGTATTATCCGACGATGCCGGCCGCCGGTGTTTCGTCTCATCAAGTTCAAGTGCATGCTTCTCAAGGCAAAGATGAACCGTACGAAGATATCAACCAATATGTGGTCATGAATAACAGGATGGTATGACGAATATTTGTGATAATTAGATCTATATATGCTAGAATTTATTATTTCTTATGAAGATTGCTATGTGTGAACTCAGCCAATTAATTTCTTAACATAAAGTAGGTTTCTACGTATTTTCTTTTAATGTGATCTAAGGCAACTGTTTTTGTTTCATCTGGTTAAGTTGGTTTTGCTTCATTCATGTGTTCCAAATGCTCTCTCTAGCCCTTCTATCGACATTGGGCCTATTTGTAACCAAAATTTCAAAAGTTTTGCCCAATGAGGTTTGCTTTTGGATCCATACTATGTGTGATTTGTATCTAGACTCTAAAACTAAGGGCTACGGGTAGTCGAGTTGGCAATAATTTCGGATACGCGGTCGTATTATTATGTAACGAAATTAATTTACGTGTTATAATATGAGTGTTGATATTTTTATAGGTCTAAGGTATATTATTACGTGTAACAAAAACCAAATAAAATTTCCAATTTGTGCCATTTGTGCATTGATAAACGTTTTGGTTCATGCTCATTGTGAGATGATTTCACTAATTTTTTTTGCTCCAACCATTGTTAAAGAATAAGTGACAATATTGGTTGAGTGTGAATAAGAAAATATGACATATTAATGTGAATTGCATGGAGATAATTAAGCAACCACATTTAAAATTGAGCTCAAAGAATTTGTAAAATCAATATCTCTGATACACTTGAATCCCTTCCTTGGAATCTGAACTCTCCTTGGATACATAAGACTCCAGAGAGTCGGAGCTAACTCCATACCCAACTCCTTGTCCAAACCCGAATCCGATCCCGATCCCACAACCCACCCCAACTCCAAACACCAGCTTTACTTGGTTGAATGGCCAGGCACCATATCCTATCCCTCCAACTAGTCCAAACCCTACTCCAGCACCGCACCCAATTCCAGCTCCAGCTCCAGGCCCCAGCAACACCTTTCTCTCTGCTTTTTGGCCGCTCTGGAAAATTTCAGCTATGGAGAATCGATTTTCGTTCTGCTGCTTCTCGTTGAAAGGGCTTGGCTTCCAAGTCCAGAAGGAATCAGTGTCGGCGTTGATGTTGGATTGGATTTTCATGGCGTAGGGAAAAATGCGAGAGGTTGTTGTAACTTTTGGTTTAATTGATTGAATATTGGTTTTGTATGTCTTCTTTTCCTCCTAGTGCCCAAACGGTTTCTTATCTTGAATTGGATAGATATCTGACAGTGACTTCACAAATTTTGTCCCATTTCCAGCTCCTAGTTCTAAAAAAGTTTCTTACGGATAGATATTAGATAATGGGGCCTCGTCATGGAGGCATTCTTTTGTGAGGCTATAGTATATGGCAGCAGAGTCTGGTAAATATTTTACAGGTTCACTTTTGTTTTTGACTGTTTTCTTTGTAGGTTTTATAAGGCCAATTTTTTATTCTTTATAAAATGATTTCAAGATTAGCATTGAAGCTAAACTTTAACATTAAACATTTTTTATTATTCTTTTTTAAACAGGGTAAATAGCTAGAATACATACTGGAAGTGTTGAAAAGTAAATTGCTTACTAATTTCTTGCTAGTAAATGATTTACTTATTAGATTTATCTCTTGTCATATTATGTAACTGCTTTATGTTGTGATAGCTTGAGCTTATATGCCAAGTGTAGGGTCTTAGATCAGCTTTCATTTTCAATGGCTCACATGCCTTGTAAGTGCCATGTGTCATAATCACAATGGCTCATGTATTTGAATGGTTGTGATGACTGATGTAAGAGAATGAACTATATGAATGAAATGCATCATTTTGCAACGGTTAGAATGTTGCAGTGATTATTCATTTTCTCTCTCTAGCTCTTCTCTCTTCCTTCATTCCTCTACTCCCTTCGTAATCCAAAGAAATCATCAATGAAAGACTATCCAAACGTTAACATGGTATCACGAGGCTAGGTTCTATCTGGAGTCCAGACGTCGGATCTATGAGTATTGTGCTCGGAAATCCAATGTGAAATTTCTGACTCAGTTCGTCTATTCAGGTCTCAAATGGCTGGGTCAGGTGGTAGTGATATTCGGGCTCCAATATTCAATGGTGACAACTATGAATTTTGGAAGATCGGAATGAGAACTATTTTCAAATCACATGGAATCTGGGATCTAGTTGAAAAGGGTCTTGAAATTCCAGAATCGAAGGGGAAGAAGGTTGATGCGGAAGGGTCATCGGAATAAGAGAAAGTATCTCTGCTAATGAAGGATGCTAAGGCACTGGGTATTATCCAAGGAGCTGTCTCGGATGACATTTTCCCTAGAATCTCGAACGAGGAGACCTCAGAGGATACTTGGGACATTCTACACCAAGAATTTCATGGCGATAAGCAAGTGAGATCCATCAAGTTGTAGGGTCTACGCCGTGATTTCAAGTACACAAGGATGAGGGATGATGAAACCCTGCCTGTGTATCTCACTAGTCTTCTCGAGTTGGTGAATCAGATGAAAGGTTATGAGGAAGAATTACCCAGAGCACGTTTGGTTCATAAATTGCTCATAAGCTTGACCAAGAATTTGATCTTGTTTGCTATGTGATCAAGCAAACTAAGGACATTGAAACTATTGAGGTGCAAGAGGTTATTGCTGCATTAAGGGGTTTTGCACAGCTCCTTGATAGGCATGCTGAGAGTACCACTGAGAGAGCTTTCAGTAGTATGAATGTGAATCCAAAGGGAACTCAGTCAAATCCAAACAAGAACTGGAAATCGAAGGGAAAGAGATGGGATCCTAAGCCTCCGAACTCTGTCAATCAAGGTGGAAAAAATGATCAAGAGAGAAAATTTGATCAGGCTAAGGGAAAATGCAAACATTGTGATAAACTACACTATGGTGACTGTTGGTTTAAAGGGAAGCCAAAATGTCATGGTTGCAATCGATTTGGCCACTTCATCAAGGACTGTGATCAACCAAACAAGGCTGGAAAGCTTGTAAACTTTGCTAATCAGGTAACAGAACCTGCAACCATGTTTTATGCTTGTAATTCTGCTACTATTGGAAGGAATATGAACATATGGTATGTAGACAGTGCATGTAGTAATCATATGACATTTCATGAATCTTTGCTTATTGATGTTGATAAAAATGTGAAGTGTAGAGTTAAAATGGGCACTAGAGATTTAGTGCAGTCAATAGGCAAAGGTACCTTGGTTATATAAATGAAAGGTGTGACTAGATACATTAAAGAAGTTATGATTGTACCTAGATTATATGAGAATTTGTTAAGTGTAGGGCAGATGGTTGAACATGGATATTGGCTTGTGTTTAGTTATTACATGGTTGATATATATGGAGATAGACAGATGGAAGATATGATTGCAAGTATTCCAATGAAAGGAAACAAATGCTTTCCCTTAGGTCTAGAATATGTCAATCCTCTTATGGCTAATAAAGCAACTGTTGAAGAGTCATCTTGGGTGTGGCATAGAAGATATGGACATCTAAACTACATCAGTTTGATGCCCCTGCAAGAAAAGGAAATGGTGCCGGGCTTACCTAGACTACAAGTCACTGAATATGTTTGCTCTTGATGTGCTACAGGGAAGGGTCATAGAGAACCATTCGATAAAGAAAAGGCTTGGAGAGCATCACAAGCTCTATAACTGATTCACTATGATATTTATGGTCCAATGCAAATCACTACACTTGGAGGAAACAAATTCTTCCTTACCTTTATTAATGATCACAGTAGAATGTGTTGGGTGTTCTTTCTGCAGCACAAGTCACAAGTCTTCAACATTTTCAAACGGTTCAAATCCATGGTTGAGCTTTAGAGTTGCTATCAAATTAAGAAACTCAGAAGCGATAGGGGTGGGGAATACACATCTCTAGAGTTTTCAGAGTTCTATGAAGATATGGGATTATAAAAGAAATTGACTGTGGCCTACTCTCCACAACAAAATGGTGTTGCAGAGAGGAAGAATCATACTGTGATTTAAATGGCTAGGACAATGATGTTTGAAAAGAAGATTCCCTTGAAGTTTTGGGCTGAAGCTGTGAATACAGTTGTGTATTTGCAGAATTGATGTCCAACAAGTGTCTTGAACAACATAACTCCATTTGAGGCATTTAGTGGAAGGAAACCAGGTGTCACTCACTTAAAGATATTTGGTTCTCCGTGTTACATTCACATTCCTTCACAAAAAAGACACAAATTGGAGGAAACTGGTGAGAAGAGAGTATTTGTTGGATATGAGAATTGTGAAAAAGGATATAGAGTTTTCAACTTGAGAACTCAAAGGTTGAACTATCAAGAAGTGTAATCTTCGATGAGAAAGCAATGTGTAATTAGGAATCTAATGAGGCAGTGCAAGTCTCTATTTCTTGGAATGATGAAAGAAACTCAAGGATATCTGAATTTGATTCAGAATCAAATGATTCACCTCAGTCTATGCAATCTCCTCTAAGATCACAAACAACTAGAGACTTGCAAGCGTCTCAGGAATTTGGTTCACTTGATTCTCCAGTTTCAATCTCAGAAACCTATGATCATACTATACAGAAATGGAAAAGTTTGAGTGATGTATATGTTCAATGCAAGATGAGCATTATTGAACCTGAAGATTTCAGTGAGGTAGTCAAAGATGAAGCTTGGAAAAAGGCTATGACAGAAGAGATGTTAATGATAGAGAAGAACTCAACTTGGGAGTTAGTAGATAGGCCATGCAACAAACCAATTGTGGGAGTGAAGTGGGTCTATAAAACAAAGCTGAATCTTGATGGTTCCATTCAAAAACACAAAGCCAGACTTGTAGCCAAGGGCTACACACAGAAACCAAGGGTTGACTACAATGAAACCTTTGCCCCTGTGGCAAGGTTAGATACCATTAGGATACTCATTGCACTAGCTGCACAGAAAGGTTGGAAACTGTGGCAATTGGATGTTAAATCAGTGTTCCTGAATGGTGTTCTTGAAAAGAAGGTATATGTGGATCAACCTGATGGTTTTGTGGTTACAGAGATAGAAGACAAAGTGTACATAAGCTAAGAAAGACCCTTTATAGTCTAAAACAGGCACCAATGGCCTGGTATAGTGAAATTGACACATACCTAATTCACTGTGGCTTTCACAAAAGCTCAAGTGAAGCAACTTTATATGTGTGGAACAAGGAAGGTGTTGGTACTTTGATTGTGTCAATCTATGTTGATGACGTAGTGTACACAGGAAGTAGTGCAAAAATGATGGAAGAGTTCAAGGCTGAGATGATGTGCAAATATGAGGTGTTAGATTTGGATTTACTCCATCATTTTCTTGGAATGGGGGTAACTTAAACTGAAGGGAGTATATTTATACACCAAAGAAAATATGCTCTAACTCTCTTGGACAATTTGGGCTTAAAGACTACAAGCCAGTGAGCACTCCATTAGTTGCCACCGATAAACTGAAAAGAGAGGATGAAATTGAACCTACAAATGAGAGTTTGTACAAAAAAATTGTTGGGAGTCTTCTGTATTTAACAACAACTAGGCTAGACATTATGTTATCTGCTAGTTTGCTTGCACGGTTTATGCACAAGCCTTCTAAGAAGCATTATGGAGCTCCTAAAAGGGTTCTAAGATATGTTCAAGGAACAATTGACTTTGGGATTGAATATGTGGTTGGAAAGCACCTTAGGGTATGCTTTTTCGTTTGGAAGTGGTGCATTTCATGGGCTTCAGTTAAGTAGCACAGTGTAGCACTTTCAACTGCAGAAGCAGAGTATGTAAATGCAGCTGAAGCAACCTCTCAAGCCATTTGGCTTAAGTTTGTGCTCGAGGACTTTGGAGAAGAGCAAGCTGCTGTAACTACTCTATTCTGTGACAACACTTCAGCTATAGCCATGTCTAAGAATCCGGTGTTTCACCAAAGAACCAAGCACATTGGCAAGAAGTTTCACTTAATTATAGATACAATTCAAGAAGGTGTGATTGATTTGGTCTACTGCAAAGGTGAAGAATAGATTGCTGATATTTTTACCAAGGCTCTTCCCAAGGACAAATTCAACTATTTGAGAAACTTACTTGGTGTGAAATCAATTAGCAATTTAGAAGGGAGTGTTGAAAAGTAAATTGCTTACTAATTTCTTGCTAGTAAATGATTTACTTATTAGATTTATCTCTTGTCTTATTATGTAACTGCTTTATGTTGTGATAGCTTGAGCTTATATGCCAAGTGTAGGGTATTAGATCAGCTTTCATTTTCAATGGCTCACATGCCTTGTAAGTGCCATGTGTCATAATCACAATGGCTCATGTATTTGAATGGTTGTGATGACTGATGTAAGAGAATGAACTATATGAATGAAATGCATCATTTTGCAACGGTTAGAATGTTGCAGTGATTTATTCCTTTTCTCTCTCTAGCTCTTCTCTCTTCCTTCATTCCTCTGCTCCCTTTGTAATCCAAAGAAATCATCAATGAAAGACTATCCAAACATTAACAGGAAGAACATAATTCCAAAAGAGGTTTTTGCAAAACAGAAAATCTAGAAAAATGTACAGCTTGAAGCCTAACTCATTTGGAATTATGAATGAGGACCCATAAAACCTGCAGCAAACCAGAACTTCAAGAAGACCAAGGCATAGAACAATCTCTCAAACAACTTGGGATAGGAAACATCACGAAGTGGAAGGCATTACTACTCAGCATCCAATAGGACATTCTAATTAATATCACAACATCTCCAAATCCCCACTTGATCCAAAAGCACCAATTAATGATTGTAGATCCAACTAAATCTTGAAGCTCCACCTCCAAAACAGAGAGATTTGAAAGCGATCTAGCACAAAAAGAGCAAATCTACTCAGATCTACCAAAATCCAGCCCCAAAAAAATGGTAATCAACACATACAAAACAAGGGATACAAAACGTTGCAAAAGCAAGTCATAGACAAAACTCAACATAAAGCTGGGAGGGAAAACTCTCCACAACATAAACGGAGGGGAGGTGGGGGGGGGGGGGGGGGGGGGGGGGGGGGGAGAATACACCATTGAATTTATATAAAAAAACCCAAAAAATGACAATTGGCCTTATTGAATTTAATATTGATTATTAAATTACTTTGATGCCTTATTGAGTATTTTGGGTATTTTTATGAGATTTTGGGGTTGGGCTTGTTTTAAGAAATTGATGGCAGTTTTGTAATTTATAAAAGGTTAAAAGCCTATTTGTTATGTTGTAAATGGGTTTTGGGTGTGTTTCTAAAGTCCATTTCATATAGGGTATTTTTATAATTTGAGCCCCTATATTGGGTATAATAGTGAATCTCCCTAAAACTTTATTATTGTATAACCTTTTTTATCGAAATAAACTTACTGAGTACTTATTTATATTACTTATTATTTTTAAAAACCTAGACTCTTTCTTCAATATGCTCACCCAGTACATAATTCATATATATCAGGTCTTAAGCTACACTATATATCATATAAACTTAAATGATATATATATATATATATGAAGTGAGAAAGAAAGAGGGAGAGAGAGGGGTACTGACTGCCACACTGAAGTTGTTAGGGACTCGTTTTCCACAAGCTTGAATTTGGTTTCATCGTACGCGGGACGTTGATCAAATTAGTAAGCTTGGGAGTGAGAGTGACATGGGAGCAAACACACTCAAAATGCATGGCCCTAAACCGCCGGCAGCAGTAGGCATAGGCTTTATGCCACATAAAAACCTACTTGCACTTGCACTTGCTAGGGCTCGTGTGTCCCCTTTCGCCATCGAAGCTGCTACCACCACCACCGCCACCAATGGCGGATCTAAGTGCGGGCTGGAGTGGGCTCCAGCCAAGTGCTGAGTTTTTAGAATCTACAACTTAGGCTTAGTTGTCCTAGCCCAAACTAGGTAAATCAAATATTAGCCTACACCTCTATGTAGAAATAAGCCCACCTTTGTATAATCCCAACCGTTAGATTGATTGGAATCAATGTGATGTAACTTTGGAGCCCGTGTGACGCAATTTAATTATAAAGATAAATACTTTTTAATATAATTAATGTTGTTGATATGTGCTCTTGTTGGCCTCACAAGTTCACAATCTCCCAAAGTAAGGCTCCACGTACTCCATAAAGGTAATATAATGGATTGTTTATTATAAAGGTAAATGATAATTTCCTCTTTTCCCTGCTCCATTTTGTCAGTTGCGATTCATTGTTTTCTTATAAATTGTTTTTTTTTCATGAAAACCTTTAAATTGTTTACTGGAAATTAAAGATACAAATATAAGCATGAGGTTCTGGTTTTTTCTCTGTAATTCTTTTTTGCTATAATCTTTCTTTTGCTCAATCCATATTGTTATGATGGTATCATAGCTCATCTTGATACTTCTATAATTTCTCATATCTTTCTTTCAATTTCTACTTTATGAAGCTCCGTTTTGAATTTAGGCACGAAGCCTTTACTAAAATTCATGGACCCGCCATTGACCACCACCAAGCACCACCAAAATAACCATATCGTAACCACTGCCCTCATAATTTATTTTTTATTTTTCCTTCTTAATAATTTGTTATTTATTTAATTTCTGGCAATAATAATAATATTACAACTCATGTACATACACACCACCCCTTTTTTATAGATTGAGAAGATATGGTTCAACAACTTTGATATTTTCCATTATCTTATATATGCCCTTCATGTACGTATACTACAGCCTTACAAAAGAATACTTCCATATGAGGAGAGGATCCATTAGAGCATTTCCATCCATTTGTCATGGCAAAGGGAGGTGGCAATGACTGTTACTATTCATGTGAATATTGTTAGCCCTTACAAAAAACAAGTTGTGTTTCCACTTATTGTCATGGCAAAGAGAAATTACTGTTCACTTTAAATTATATTTTATTTTATACTTAAACGATTAATTTGGATAAGATTTTCATTGCCACATGTCAATATTTATTATAAAATTCACATATCAAATTTTAGATAAGATTTTTAGATAAGATTCTCGGTTGCCACATGTCGATATTTATTATAAAATTCAAATCTTAGATTTCAGATAAGATTTTCACCTTCTATAATTGCAACACGTGTCATCTCTATTGGAAAATTTGGTTTATGAATACTACTTTTTCTGTAAAGCATCACAAAAATATATATTAGAAAATTGTAGTTTACATTGATATAAAATATAGAATAAATAAAATCAATGAAATTACGGCAAAATACTTATCTTTTGGGATGTAGAAGTTGGTCTCCATTGAGACTTGAGTAGAAGAATAATTTTAGATTGAGGCATGACTGTCCTTAGGAGTAGATTTCGCTCCTCAAGGACAATGTCTCTGTCTAGCAAGGTTGTATTGCTGCCCACCCTCCAAGATACAACAACCTATGACCCTCATATGCATACACTCGCAATACTTGGATTGGATGAACAACTCGAATCTTTCCCTTGATAAAAGAAAACAAATTGGAACACAAACTCAAGAATGTGGGGGGAGAAAATAATGAAGAAATGTGCCAAAAATCTCTCACCAACGTTTTTCTTTTTTGGTGTATATGTAAGCCTACTGACTCCAGTGAATGTTGGGTTATTAACCAAGCAAATTAAACCACATTTGCACATTAAGAACAAAACTCAACGCTATTGCTCAAAATAGTAAAATCTGATCCCAACTAAGCAATTAACTCATGCAATAAAGCTTTGGAATCAAAACCCTCAACGACTATTGTAAAACCAAAGGCATTTAACTTATTTAAATGATAAAATAAATTGATACAAAAAGTTAACGTAAATAAACCAATTAAAACCATAAAGAGATAGCAAAACCGACAACAAATTAATGTCCAATTTATTCAAAACCAATACAAAAGAAGTTAATAATTTTCATAAAATAGAATTAAACCAAACATTCAAAATTTCACTTTCAACATAAATTAGATAAATTAATTTTGTATTTTGAAATACTTGCGAAAATTCCAACAATCTCTGTCTTCTAAATACCGTGATCGGGCAATGACCAAGTTGGACCCAAGACTCACACAATAAAACATCTTCCATGGTTGTCCACGATCCTCCGACTTCGATGGAAGATGTCATTTGTATTTTTATACAAGTGAAATTTAGTAGTACAAAATTTGGTGTGGAAAGTGAATAATATTGGTACATATTTATGGAAAAAAATTCACCTCCTTCTACCTTAACAGGTCCATCACTGCATAAATGTTTACATTATCCAAATGACAGTACACTTTCATTTTTATAATGTAAAGATCGGAGTACTAAACACTTCGATCTAATATTGAAATTAAGTAAAGATCATCTCATCCTTGTGAACCTACTCATTAGCTTAACATAGTAAAAGGTGTAGCATCATGGCTCACACAATCCCACTAAGTACTGACCTTACAAAATGATTATACATAGCATCAAGATAGATAACATATAATCAATTATAGCTATTTATGGACGATATATTTCTTTTCTCAATGTATCACATTACTTCGCATCTTAGTGAATCTCATAAGTGGATTATTGGTAACAAATCATAAGTCCTAAAATATACCAAGATAAGCAACAACATGCTAGAGTTTGTAATACTCAAACATCTATACCTAAAGGTTCAACTCCTCCAATCATGTTAAGTATAATTGTGGAAGCAAATAATTGTACACCAATAATAAGACGCCACATGTAAGACAAAGAAATCAAATGGACAAAATTTCCCTTAGCAAAAGGCGATAGAGGATAAGAAGCATCCAATCAAGCATTAAATGATGGCAGTTGAAATTATTGCCCCAAAGCTAGCAGAGGTCGATTCCTCTGGCAATTAAGGCTCCGCCTAAGCCCAAGTTGCCCATGTAAGCTTCATAAGGCCCTTCTAATAGTCAAAGGCCCATGGACAAACTAGTCCAACATGAGTCTAGACACTTGCCTGATCTAAGCCTAGATTAGATAAGGCTTAGGGGATAAGCCCAACATGACTTATCCTTGGGCAACACTCCACTAAAAGATCAACCCAAATCTTGGGTATATCCTCATTAATTGCAATAGCAATAATTAAGGACATTAAGCTCCACCACTTTGGGTAAATATCTCACACGTCCCAAGTCAAACAGCTAATTGATTGGACATACACATCAAGGAGTCATGGCACCCACCACTTAGTCTCAAACATGTAGCCTCCAAACCATAGTAAATAAGCCACTAATGGGCCAAATTTAAACCCACCTCCATATGTGGGAGAAGGCAATTGTTCCTTGAACTAAGAAACTCTAACTCTTTCTTTGTTTAATGGTGCTAACCTAGGCATAGGAGGCCTTTTATCTCACACCACACCAATGTGCTTGAGGACTTACCATTGTCTCTCTTTTCTTAGTTCTCAAGGAACAAGAGTCCTTTCTCAAGGTTGATGAATTCATTCCTCACAATAATAGTGCACTATTTGAAGGGACTTAAGCTCACAACCAACTTCAAAAACTTGTAACTCACTTGAAGTATCTGTTTCATAAGCCCACTTTGTATTACTTCTCAGGACATAGATCATATAGTGCATAGTTGTGATACATAACCATACTAATGATAACAAATGTGTAACCATAAGTATGTAAGCACATAACTAAGATTTCAACCAAAAATTTGTGTAAGCAAATAAAATTTATATTTCATGTAATTATAGATAGTGAGCATTTTGCTCACCACTTTAATCCAATGTGTACCCTCCCTTCTTATAACTTGACGCATCTCCATACTTGTAACCATAGTTAACTCTTTAATTTTAAATATTTTAAGTATTTAAAATTAAAAAATAAAGTAAAATAATAATTAAATAACATTTATAAAATAAAAAAATCTCTCATTCTCTCTCCCCTCTTCCCGACGAGACCCACCCCTACCCCACAACTAGCCACCTAACCTTAGCCACCACATTCCCCTGCAGCAACCCTAACCACCTCCTGACCTTGTTTAACCTCAACCACGCACCCCACCACAACCACCACCCATACCGACAAGATCCGATTGGGGTTCGTCGGTGACACTGTGATCGAAGCCGTTGGAGAAGAACCATCGGGAGAATCGATTTGACCAAATTCAGAGCATCCACAAACTACTGGTGCTCCGACTTGGTCTCGTTGGAGCCGAAGCTAACGGAATTGTGTTGTTGCTGGGAGGGAAGAGGAAGATCCTGAGCCTTGCGGGTTTAGCGGAAGTGCAGTAAAGCCGACTGTACTTGATCATCATGTGGTTGAGGTCCTCGTCGTTGATGACAGAGATGAAGGCGTCGAGATCTTCGCCGGGGAGCTAGTAAGTAGACGACATCATTCGGGGTGTCGCAGAGGGAGGCGAGCTTGGAGGCGAAAATGAAGAGCATGATGTTGCGATCTACGGTGAGGATTTTGGTGTCGCTGCCGGACGTATACGAGTTGGTGGTCGTGCTGGTGGGTGTGGGGTGGGCCTTGTCGCGAAGAGGGAGAATCATGGAGAGAGAGTTTTTAATGTTATTTAATTATTATTTTACTTTAAAATAATTTAAAATTTAAAATCAAGGAATTAATTATGGTTACAAGAATAGACATGTATCAAGGTATAAGAAGGGTGGTGAGGGTACACATTAGGTTAAAGTGGTGAGTACAAATGCTCCCTTATAGATAAGACATATGCAAAATTTAGTAGAGAAGTAAGAAATGTATTATAATCATGAAGAAAAATTATAGCTATAATACCAGCCATACATTAAGAATTATAGCAACTTTACTACATATTATCTCCTTAATTAAGACTAATGCGAATTTGGGCCACCTCAGTTACCTAATACAAAAGAAAATTTAAACCCCACAGATCAAGCCAAAAACCAAAATACTATTTATGATAGCCTTATTAGTAAAGAATTTTATCACTAATACTTTTCTTTTGCTTGCATAATACATGCTACCTAACTAAGAAGAAGGCAAAAAAAGTACTACAAACTCTATACATATGTAACAAAATTTAGGTTTTGTTTGGTTATGTGTAAGGTGTAAAGTAGATAGTGGGACCTGTATTTTGCATGTCTAATTATGTATTCTTTTTTTAAATATTTAAATGTCAAATATGCCATTTTAGTTTAAATTGGGCTTGTGATTGTTTTATTTATTTTATACAAACAATATCTAATCTAAACTTAAAGGAGAGGGATTTGAACTTGGGTGCAGAGGGGGGAGCACATCCACTCTAACCAACTTTGATAAGCCTATGTCTGTAGCTTGTGAGCGCCATTTTACTAAAGTCTAATGTTTTCAGGGACGTCTAGGTGCGGAGCTCTTTCGTTTTATTCCATACAACTTTGTTAAAGTCATAACTAAATTTCCTAATTCATATATGTCCATGTTTAGAGCCTGGAATCCAAGACTAGGAATGTAATGGATTTGGAGAAATTCCTTAGCAAGGATCAACTTCAAAACTGCATACCAGATGCAGATTATGCCTGTTGTTTTTGAAAACCGCCATTCTAGAATCCTCTTCTTCAGCTATAAAAGTGACTTGAAAACTAAGTTGGTATGCGCAAAAGCTTTTGTCAATCTCCTTTCTTGATTACATATTAAGTTTTGGGTTCTACATAAATATGAAGGTTTCTCAAGCAATGTGAAGGGCAAGATGAAGATGAAGATTGTGGTAGTTCTGCATGCGTTCACGTAAAGTTCAATAACATCGAATCTATGATTTACCAGAGGTATCTTTATTATCATAACACTTTGCCACCCAATTTTCTTGAATTTGTAGAATATAGTTTGAATCTTAACTCAATAATTCTAACTTGATATGGTTCCATGTGAAGATGACGCTAAGGTAGCTCAAGAAACGGCGTAATCCTTTTAGAGGTTGTTTGGTACGGCGGATTGTCATGTACTGGATTAAATTTTCAGACAATCTTGGATTGGCTTGGATTGGACGAAGCTGGATTAAGTACCAACCTACATTTGGTGTCGCGTCGGACTAAGAAGTTGTATTGTAAAAATAGTGAAGACCTATGTTTAGTATAATGTCGGACTAAAAAATAAATATTGTAATATTTAAATTTAATTAAGGATTTTGATATTTTTTAAAGGAAAATGCTAGGGATACCAACTTTAGATATCAACTTGTGTACCATCTCTCTAATAGAGCATGGGATCCATTATATTGGTGCGCTCCACCTCTATTAGAGATATGGTACACAAGTTGGTATCTAAAATTTGTCTCTCTAGCATTTTCCTTTAAAAAAAAATATCAAAATCCTTAATTAAATTTAAATATTACAATATTTATTTTTTAGTCCGACCCTTTTTAAAAGCTTTCTAATATTTTATATGTAAGCTATTTTCAAGTGTATTTTTGTTAATTTATGTTAAAAAATAATTAAAACAATAATAAAATTATATTTAAATAAAACTAGATAATAACATCATAATAGATATAAACAATTGATAAATAAAATTTAAACTAAAAAAATTAATTAACTATAAACTAATAAAATATTTGAGAAAACCACAAATATCTTCCCTTCTTCCTCTCCCCGTCACCTCACCACCTACAATCCTCTTTAAGCCCATTTGTCTACCTCCCCAAACCACACAGCTCAAGCCATGCTTTCCACAAACACAACCATGCCTCTTCTCCTCCCTATCACCACACTTTGCCCCTAATTAAGGCCATCAGATTCTGACCCACATCAACAAAACTAACAAGATGGGGATGATTAGGATGATGATGGGGTCCTATTGGATTGCTCACAGTTGGATGAGGCAATGAAAGAGGGAAACGCAATAGCCTATTAATTAGGGAAGAAATATTTCCAAAGGTGATAGACCCACCATTAATCTTCTTCTATTTTCAAGAATCCAAATTCTTCATCCCATGACTTTTTTTTTCCCCAAAATATGTCACTCTTTGGTTTTTAATTTTTTCAAAATTTCAAATGGAATTATTGGCCTTGTGGGAATCGGTTGTCCAGGGGATGTTGTGGTTGTGTAGGGGAAGTGGAGACGTCAAGTTTCTGGGTTATGCAGTGGGTTGGGTGGTGATGGGTGTTTAATTGGGTATGGTTTTTGGTGTTGATACGGTTTACTGAAAACAAAAATCCAGAAAATCTAGTTCCAGGTGAAGAAGAAGCAGAAATTGGTGTAGTTCGGACTCGCATGTTCTATTTAGCAAGTTCGCTATTTTGCGAACCATTTTTCAACGTCGCTATATTCGAGGAGCGAGTGAAGGGTTTTGATCACTGTTGGACTATATAATCTCATTTAAGTTAGTCCCATATCTCTTACCAAACATGGGTTTCCAGTGTTATTTAAGTCAGTCCAGTCCAGTGAGGCGTACCAAACAGAGCCTTAGAGAAAAAAAGGCCAAAAGTGTTGTGTTTAACAAATTTATTTAAAGCCAATCATACTATGCCACATGTCTGGCGGCCCAACTTCGACCACCACCACCACTAGCGAACAACTCCAGCCAACAATCGCCGCCCATCAAACAACTATGTTTGGCGACTCACCTCCGGCCACCACCCGCCGACGACCAACTTCTGGTGGTGCCCTTTCAATGTGGATGTGGTAGTACTAGTGTCTTATTTATTCACCTTTAAAAACAAATTGTTTTGTTTTGCCATTGTGGGGACTTGAACCTCCAATCTCATAGATTGAAATCCCACCCAAAACCACTGCTACACCAACTTTACTTTTGAGACATCTATGTAGTTGCATAATATTTATATTAAAAGTAAAGTCAATTTTATTAAAATATAAATTTTAAGACCGATTCACAAACTATTTCTACCGAAGCCCTCATGCTTACATAAATATATCAACTTAAATTTATAAAAATTTACAAGTTTTGAACCCTTGTAAACAATATATATGTTGCAGCAATATGTTCTATGGAGAGTTTCAGAATTTGGGTCCAGGGTCAAACATAAGCGGGCAAGCAGGCTACACCAAAAAGCTAAGCGATGCAGAAGTCAAATCTTTCCTCAGCCTTGGCTATATTTAGGGTTCCAAATGGCTTCTTCCTCATCTAAATACAAGATCCAAACATAGTATAGTTTAAGAATAGGAAATATATACTTACATTTATAGTTTCCCTATTTCTTAGGTGAGATTGAGCAAAGAGCACTGACAATCCTATACGTATATATAATACATGCCCACAAGCAGTATGTACATCTTATATAAGTATTTGTCTACCGAAAAAAACTAACGATGTTAAGTAGTATGATGTGAAACTTTCCGTTTTTGGTTTAAATTTGAGGAGCTTTAGTATTATACCCAAAATAGGTGCAACAATTATTATTAAAAAAAACCCACATGGAATGCACTTTAGAAACATACCAAAAATCATTTACTACATAAGAAATGTGTGCTGAAGTTCCTATAAATTACATGACTGCCATTAATTAACTTAAAACAAGCCCAACACAAAAAAAAACTCAAAAAAAACCAAAAACAAGCACAACAAGCCCGAAGTACATTGTTAATACCATTTCATACAAAAAAAACTATTTAAAAAAACCCAAAAAAAGCCCAACAAGACATCGATATCCTTTGTGGAAATCACCTCCAATTGTCCACATTTTCATCAGAAACAATCGCAAAGGCAAAAGGAAATACCTGTACAAGAAAAAAATGTACACTGTTCATACTATATCATAGAACTATATTCCTGGTAAAAACCACATTATGCATATCATAAACTTAAAGTGCATAGCTATATATAGAGAAAAATATAAAGCACGCTTTGTTATTAAAAATCTATTAATACTATGTCATAGAAGTACACTGTTAATACTATGTCATAAAAATCAACTCAGTTGCAGGGTATGAACAGTGTAACAACTATTCATACTGACAAGACTCGCCCCAAATTCCTCGGAACCTGAGACGAATCCTGTGGAATTCCAGACATCACCCCAATGTCGGTCTACTTCTGACACTATAACCTTTCTTTTTTGTTCCAAAAATGAATAAAGGTACCAGACTTTCTGCCGAAAATTCGGCAGAGTCTCCCTTGTAAATCTAACATTTCCCAAAAATTTCAACCTGCATAAAACACATTTAATATCACCAACTGGCAGCATGCACAAGATAATTTCATGCAATTCATGTAGACGGCCTTCAGCCTTCAAATAATCCGAAGCGAAACCACCAACACACTCTTAAGTCAATTAATACCTTAAACAAGGCAAACAATAAATTCAATCACACTTAGGAATGTCACAACAATCCACTACATTTAATTTTCTCAACAACCAACATACGAGGTTTTAACCTCCTAACCCAAACACATCTCATTCTCACTCAAATAGTAGGACCAATGGCAACGTCCGCATCATACTCAATAATACGCAAGTAAAGTTTAACTCGTGGTTGCACCTAGGCATCACCCTAGGCTGCCTACGTATCCTCACCGAGGGATCAAGCCACACGTAGTTCTTTTAACAACAATCCTCGTCCCAAAACATACAAACCAATACAGCAATACAAATTCATACATTCTAGAATTCATTCCATTCCATTTTTTAATTTAAATAATAACTCACCAAGCACAATCTTTTTCAAACATCTCTCAAAATAATCACAAAATCTCCCCATACGGCGGAACATCCAACGCCATGTATGGGGCCTGTCAATACGCCGGAAAATCCTACGCCGCGTGCGACCTCTCATCTCATGTTGCATAATCTCCCCATACTACGGAACTACCAACGCCACGTATGGGGCATGTCCGTACGCCGAAAAATCCCACGACACGTGGGACCTCACAATCATATCACAATAATCTCCCCATACGCCGGACCTACCAACGCCACATATGGGGTCTTTCAACACACCGAAAAATCTTACGACACGTGTGACCTCATCACAATATCACAACATCTCCCCATACGCCGGAACTACCAACGCCACGTATGGGGCCTGTCCGCATGTCGGAAAATCCTACGACACGTGGGACCTCAACATCATATCACAATATCTCCCCATATACCGGAACTACCAACGCCACATATGGGGTCTGTCAACACGCCGGAAAATCCTACGACACATGTGACCTCATCAGAATATCACAATATCTCCCCATACGCCGGAACTACCAAAGCCACGTATAGGGCCTGTCCGCACGCTGGAAAATCCTACGACAAGCCAGACCTCAACATCATATCACAATATCTCCCCATATGCCGGAACTACCAACGCCACGTATGAGGTCTATCAACACGCCGGAAAATCCTATGACACGTATGACCTCATCATAATATCACAATATCTCACCATACGCTGGAACATCCAACGCCACGTATGGGGTCTGTCCGCAAGCTGAAAAATCCTACGACATGTGGGACCTCAACATCATATCACAATATCTCCCCATATGTCGGAACTACCAACGCCACATATGCGGTCTGTCAACACGCCGGAAAATCCTACAACACATGTGACCTCATCATCATATCACAATATCTCCCCATACGTCGAAACTACCAATGCCACGTATGGGGCCTGTCCGCACGCCGAAAAATCTTACGACACGTGGGACCTCACAATCATATCACAATAATCTCCCCATACGCCGGAACTACCAACACCACGTATGGGGTCTGTCATCACGCCGGAAAATCCTATGCCATGTGTGACCTCTCATCTTATATCATGGTACTTACACAGTGTAATCAAACATCTTTATATCTTTAATATATATATATATATATATACATAACTTTCCCCCAATAAATAATAATAAAATTCATTTCCATTTTCCCCTAGTTTAAGACAACAACTAATTCCATAATCCCACCATAACAACATAACTCAACTAACGCTCAGGACATGTCCCTATGGTAATTTTAATTCTCCTATGAAGGTAAGACTACCTTGGAAGACTGGCGGTCAACCAAGGGTCAAACTACCCAAACTTGGTCAAACGGGCCCACAGGGCCCACAACCTCCAAATTCCGATCCGAAAGTTCCTATATGTTCTACATGGCTTAGGACACACGTCCCACAAGTTTGGTCCAGATCGGATGGTTGGATTGCTCACGATCGCACGATCGGACGGTTACTGTAACCCTAGCCCTAGGGTTGGCATTTTCGGAGTATCCGAGACTCCGTTTTACAATCAGTCAAATCCTACACGATCCAAAAGATGTCCAGATTAATCTATAATAAATTTAAGACCATCCAACAGTCCAAACCTATCGAACCTGGATAATGTTTAATAGGCAATATCCGTTCGAGACTCAAACGGTATCCAAATTGAAATCCGAGCACACCTATGCACTTGTGAGGACCAGGAGATTAGATCGGGACGCAATGCCCTTTTCTACAGTGCCCACGCAAGCGCCGGCAGCGCGTGAGTGTCCAAAGCGATAACCCATCGCAGGAAAAACCCAAAATCATGGCTCAAGACTCCTACTCTCTGTGTAGCACCCTATTTGGAGTCACTTTTGTTCTTGGGCATACCCTAAAAACTGACCAGAAGTGGCCGGAATTGCTATCCCCAAAATCGGCCGAACCCTAACTCGAAAATCAGACAATCTAAACTCAAAATTAATGAAATCTTACCCAACCATCAGCTAGAGCTCGAGGAGTAGATGGATTTCCATACTTGGATCGCCAAAAATGGCGGCTGGAGGAGAGTGATCGAAGCAGGTGAAGTTTAGAGCGAAACCGGGCGTTTCTCTTCGTTTTTCCTGCGAAATCACGGCGGCTAGAGACGGGGCCTGGCTGTGGTCGGAAGAGGACGACGGCCCGGTCATTTTGGTACTGGCCCCATCAACTTTGGTGGCCGGACGAGAGCACGGCCGGCCAAAACGTGGCTGGCTGTTACAGCCGTCGCGAGAGAGAGAGAGAGAGAGAGAGAGAGAGATGAGGGCTTTTTTGACTTTTATCAACCTTTTTCACAATATTTACGATTATGCCAGTGAGGGTATTTTGATCGTATCTCTCTCGTTACAACTCCGATTCAAGCTTACTACGTGTCTATGAACTCATCTCGCCATGCTCTACACAACGGTACAGTTGAAAGTCCCAATATAATATTCTAGGGGCAAAATGGTCTTTTGTCATGTTTAATTAATAATTAAACATTTATTTAGGACCGGGTCATTACACATACCACTTACTGGAAATTAACAACTATATCATTTCATTTGCATAATAGGTACGATAAAGAATCCAAACAGTACCAAACATCAAAACCAAGTCAACACTAAACAATGTTTTGCGCATTAAAATCATAAAGAACCTAGATCACTGAGAATCTAAATCCAGGAACAGTAATTATCAAATTTCTTTTCTTTTTGTTCAATTTGTATTAGAAAAGAAAATGAAGATGTAGTGACAAGATGCTACACCAACAATACAAAATCATTGTTAGCTAACTCATAGTGGAAAGCTTGAAGGAAGAGAGTGAGCTAACTCGTAGTGGAAAACTTGAAGGAAAAAAGCATACACTCTCTGCCTTTTTCACCAACTACAAAGAGGCTAACCAATACAAGATTTTGTGGAGGACCTTCTTTTCACCAAGGAATATGCATCTAGCAATGCTAACACTAAACTCCAGATGACTTACAGACCCATTAAAGCATTCAGGTAGTTGCAAAATGAGCATTGCCTTAAACAACTATTACAATTTTTTTCTAGGATAAGAAATGGTATGTGATGCATTAAGAGATACTGAAATTTGCCCCATAAGCCTACAGAATCAGGTTACACAACTGAACTTAGATGGCAATTTGCTCACAAACATTAGATATAGCATACACAGATAGAGCCAAACAAGTCAACAACAATGAGAAAAACAAGCATAATGAATTCTAAATCACTAATTCCAATTATTATATCATTCTAAAATAGAAAAAACAATACATCAATGACTCATGTTGACTAATTAAGTATTTTACACCAAGAACTCTTCCCAAAATTCTAACTATCACCACCTCTAGCACCTCGGGCGCCCCAAAGAATGGAGAATCAAATTGAATCACCATATCACCATCACCATAACCTCAATTCAATCATGCAATAAGCAAATACATAAATTAACAACAACAACAACAACAACAAAATACGAGAAATTAAAATTTTCACAGTAACCTCTAAGAGCTTTTGCGTATGAAAGACTATGAGTAGTTCTTCAGAGAATCTCTCTCCTGGTGGCGTATTTGTACTGAGATCGACGAATGTTATCCAACGATCATTCCAATTACGATCTCTGCGTTCTTTGCCGTGCTCTCTAGAGGAGTTCTTAGCTCAGTCTCCGTCCGAGGTTGTTGTGGTTGACGTCAGTCAAATTCAATGGTGTTGGAAAAGGAACTAAAGGTGTGTCGTCGGCGGACGGAGATTGAGACAGAGATGATTGCGGTGGCATCAGAGGTGAAGAAGGATGTGGTGAGTTAACTGGGGCGTCCGACGAAGATGGAGGAAGGGAAATCGGCGATCGAGTTTTGGGCGAAGGTGAATCGGCGGCGGGTTTCTGTGATGGAGTCTGTGAGGGCTGTGGTGGAGATGATGAAGATACAATGGAGAATTGGACTAAGAGAAAAGCTAGAAGCAGAGCTCGATGAACCTCGCCATTATTGAAGAAGAAGAAGAAAGTTTGAGATGCTGGTTTGATGAAAATTGAGTTGATTAATGAAACAAAACAAAAGGGTAAAACAGTAATCAAACATAGCTCTAGAATTTAAGAAATCAAATGGCCTTCAATTTTTGGGTTATTTTGGGTGTGTTTATATACATTGAATAGTATAGGGTTTCTTTACAAAACTGTGTCTAGGAATGGGTATTTAACTAATTTTCTATTAAATTTATAGCCATGGAAATTTTATATATAAGATAAACATGTTCACATTATTTTACGAGTTGTGATGTTATTTCTTCATCTAGAATGTGCACAAGAATTCTTAATTTATTTGTAAGGTTCCTAGTTAAAATCTACACAATAACTTTCTTTGGGCTAGCCACCAGAAGTCAATGGCAAGTCTCTTTCGGGCAAGAATTCTATAGTGAGAGCCTTATCTAAAGCCTTAAATGAGGCTTTATTTTTTAACCGTTGGATCAAATTGGTTAGCTGTTAGATCAAATTAATTAATTTGATCTAACGGTTATGAGATTGTGCCTCATCTGAAGGCCCTCGCTATGGAATGACTCCTCATTGGTTTTCTAGTTTCACATTACTAGTTTTCTTTCTTCACATACATTAGGGACACTTTGGAAAAAGCCAAAGGAGAGAGAAATATTTTGAAAAGAAGCCAAAATGGACAAAAATGCCCTCATTTATTTTTGGATTTCTTAAGGAATCCTTTACATTTGCATGTCATTGGTTTGAAAGTTGAGGGGTTTTTTTTTTCTTTTATAGAAAAGTTTTGGCTAAAACCTAAATTTACTACATTATTATTACTAGTTTTCTTTCTTCACATTATTATTACTAGTTTTCTTTCTTTCTATCTGTGCGGTTCCTTTTTCTTTTTCTTCTTAGTCAAGTTGAACTCCCAATGGAGATACTGTTGAACTCCTAATCGAGATTCTCTCTCTCTCTCTCTCTCTCTCTCTCTCTCTATATATATATATATATATATATATACACAATGAGCTTCTATTGAGGGATCCCTCTTATAAGTTTATTTGAGGGACACTCTTATAGTGTCCACTCTGTATTGTATTTCACTAATCTAAACCATCTATTATTGTATTATTATTCATTCAACGATCAAAACAAAAAAAAAAAAAAAAAAAAAAAAAAAAAAAGAACCCAATATCAATCTGACCACTCAATTTAATTATTGAAATTTTAATACTTTCTTAAACCATTGTATTCATTGATTTTGTATGACACAAAATTAAATGTTGAAATGGTTTTCGATTTGTCTAATTTTTTGCAAGGATGAATGTAGACTTAAAAAATAGATGGTTTAGATCATTAAAAAAATAAAATAAAATTTGTAGGGGACCCTGAAGGGTGTCCTTCAAATAAAATTATTTGAGGATCCCTCAATAAAAGGAGGCGACAAAACATGAATTGAGTGATCCCTTATACATATATATATATATATATATATATCTGTTTATCATCTCTAGCTCTATGAACTAATTAAATCTTTAACATGAATTGATTGATGTCGACAAAACAAGATCAGCACTAATTAAATATATAGAAATTGTTTTGTTGTGCTGATGATGCTGACTCTCTTGGTTAATCTCTTTTTTTTTTTTTTTTTTTTTTTTTTTAGGAATCACCACTCCACCATAAGAAGACAAATATTCTAGCTAGCTACAAGAATATATTATTAAGCTTGATTATCAAATAAAGAATGATCTAATTAGCTTTCTTTCAAACGATGATGAGTTAGAGAGTGGAGGGAAGGGGACAAAGATGTATGACTTTCCTCAAATAAAAGTGAATTATAAGATGTCTCTCCTATATATTCCGATATTATTGACATGATTGTCCAATCTTAACCGTTTATCCATTTAAGGAATTTTATGTTCTTCTCCAATGAGAAAAGTATTCGTTCAGAAGCTCTAATATTAGTCATCCATTGTAAAGGACTATGGTCGAGTCAAAATGACGTTTGACCGGATAATAAGCATGGGTTCATAGAGCCGGTACATTTTACAGGCTCGTTACAACTCTTAGCGTGACGGATTACATATTTGCTTGGCGTGGCACATGGACCGTGACTCGTGCGAGCATTTATGACAAACTTTCGCATGCTCAAATCGGGCTTCTTCTCATTAAAGTATCGCATTAGGCCGAGAATATATTTGGACCTAGCCTTAGATTTTTTGGGCCTCAACAATTATCAAATAAAGAATAATCTAATTAGCTTTCTTTCAAGCTATGATGAGTTAGAGAGTGGAGGATGCATGACTTTCCTAAAATAAAAGTGAATTATAAGATGTCTCTCCTGTATATTCTGATATTATTGACACGGTTGTCTAATCTTAACCGTCTATCCATTCAAGGAAAAGTATTCGTTCAGAAGCTCTCATATTAGTCATCCCTTAGGTTATGTTTTTAATATATAGTCCTTAACTAATTATTGATGAAGCGAAACCTATGATTGCACTTAGATAATTGAAATAAATTTCTTTATTAGTTTTCTCATTTTATTGGAATAATTTTCAAGGACTTTATTGCCTGGACTAAAACTTAAGACGCTATATAAAATAACGATACTGGGCTTGGATATTAGAGGATCATATTATTCATATATATCGAATCGGTGAAGGAATTGACCCTACGGTCCAAGTCCTCGAGTCAAGGTTGAACCAGTCCCAGTAGTATATGGCAGCACAGTACGGTCGGATATTTTATAGGTTCACTTTTGTTTGTTTGTTTTCTTCCTAGTTTCAATAAGGCCAATTTTTATTTTTTATAAAATGTTTTCAAGGTCAATATTGAAGCTAAAACTTAACATTATACATTTTTTTTAAAACAATAAAATTCATTGATAAACAGGGTAAATACCCATAATACATACAAGAGAACATAGCCCCAAAGGAGGTTTTTGCAAAACAGAAAATCTAGAAAACATGAACAAACAGGCACAAACATTGCAAGAGAGTGAGTACAAAAATGCACAACTTGAAGCCCAGCTCATTTGGAATTACAAATAAGGAGGACCCACAAAACCTGCAGCAAACCAGTACCTCTGGAAGACCAAGGCATAGAACAATCTCTCAAACAACTTGGGACAGGAAACACCACGAAGTGGAAGGCGTTACTACTCAGCATCCAATAGGACATTCTAATGAATATCACATCATCTCCAAATCCCCACTTGATCCAAAAGCACCAATGATTGTAGATCCAACCAAATCTAACAGCTCTATCTCCAAAAAAGAGAGATCTAACAGCAATCTAGCCCCAAAAAGATGGTAATCAACCCCTAGAAAACTAGGGATACAAAACCTTGCGAAAACAAGGAATAGACAAAACCCAGCATAAAGCTGGGAAGAAAAACTCTCCACAAGTACATACCCGAGGAGAGGGGAGAAACCCAGGTTCTTCTCCTGCCCTTTTGCATGCACTCACAGGAAGGTCCTTCTCTTGCTTGCATTGGCTAGGCGTCGTGTCGCCTTCTGCCATTGGAACCACCTCAACCAAAACACCAACCACCACCAAGAACAAGCATACAACCACACCCAATGAGCCTGCAGCCTTCATGATTTTTCTTTTTTGCTTCTTCTTTTCTTTGTTGCTTTTTGTGTGGCAAAACTACCCCGTTTTATAGATTGTGAAGAGGGTTAAATTTGGGAGTAACTGTTGCCCTACCAACAATGCGAGAGACTACTTGTCTAATTGTTTGGGTAAATATCACAAAAAGAACTTGACTAAAAGGTCGCTAAACTCAAAGTCTAATTGTTTGTGGAAACGTATCTCCATTGGGAGTTCGACTTGACTAAGAAGAAAAATTAAAAGGAAACTGGTAATGTGAAAGTAGAAAACCGAGGACAAATTTGACGTGTTCAGATCAGACCCAAAAAGAAAAAAGGCAACAAAGAGGAGAGACAAAATTGACGTGTAATGGACTCCAAAAGTCGAAGGCTTTTAATATCCTTGCATGGACATGGTCTTTCTAGGAAGCTACTCGAGGGATGAGTCATTCTATAGCGAGGGCCTTCAGATGAGGCACAATCTCATAACCGTTAGATCAAATTAATTAATTTGATCCAACGACTAACCAATTTAATCTAACGGTTAAAAGATAAGGCCTCATTTAAGGTCTTAGATAAGGCCCTCACTACCTCCTCATTTAAGGCCTTAGATAAGGCCCTCACTATAAAATTCTTGCCCGAAAGAGACTTTCGATTTCTGGCGGCTGGCCCATAGAAAGTTGTGCAGATTTTAACTAGGAACCTTACAAATGAATTAGGAATTCTTGTGCACATTCTAGATGAAGAAATAACGTTACAACTTGTAAAATAATGTGAACATGTTTATCTTATAAATAAAATTTTCATGGCTATAAATTCAAACCATAAACGAAAAGTTTCACAGCAAACTACTTAACTACATTAAATTTTTTTTTTCGTAGGCGAATACATATATGAGATGTACATATTGCCAGTGTGCATGTATTGTATGTACATATAGGATTGGCGGCGCTCTTTGCTCAATCTCACCTAAGAAATAGGGAACTATAAATGTATGTATATATTTCCTATTCTTAAACTATACTATATATGTCTAGATCTTGTATTTAGATGAGGAAGAAGCCATTTGGAACCCTGAATATAGCCAAGGCTGAGGAAAGATTTGGCTTCTGCATCACTTAGCTTTTTGGTGTAGCGTGCTTGCCTGCTTATGTTTGACCCTGGACCCAAATTCTGAAACTCTCCATAGAACATATTGCTGCAAAAATTACCACATATATATATATATGTAAATAATAATAAAAAATGGATCCTATAATAAGAAAACATTTTAGAAAAATAATGAAAATTGCTTACTTACTTGGAACGTTCAGGGTGGCCAAAGTCATTCCATCGTTCAGGATGGACGACGTTGGCCATGTCGGTGTAGGCAAACACCACAGTGGGGCTGCTCCCCCAAGCCCTACCCAAGTATGTACCCCTCACATATGTAGTGCCAGTTATTTTGCAATGCACAAATGAAAATCCATTATCCTCCAAAGTATCCCTTTGTTGCGCCGTTATCACCGTAATATTCCGCTCTATGACATGTATCTCAGTGTTCTGCACCAAAATATATTATATCATTTAATATCACAACTTGAGCTAATAAATGAAAATTTAATTAGAACGACATATTTTTTAAAATAAACACTACAACGCATAAAGTTAACATAAACAAGCATATGATTTGAACTCAGAGAAAGTATTGTATGATACTAGGAGGCATTATTATTACAAGACATACCAAGTAGAGAGATTTTCCTTTTCCGAAGATGAAATCTACAGTGCCTTCAATGTAGCAGTCCTTGAAGAAATGCAAGCCCTTGTAATCATAAAGGGTGTCCTGAAATCCAATAAACTTGCAATTGTAGAAGGCTGCCTTGTCCCCGGAGATCTGCAATGCAACAGCCTGCGCACCAGACCTTATCCCATCCGGCTCTGGTGCCGAATTCTGCAAAATTATATTAAACCACTCCATGAGACCATGATACATACATTACCATCATTAGAACAATATAACATTTCTCTAACTAAAGCAAATTATTTAATTCATAATTACGTACCGTAACAATAACGTTAGCAGCCCTAAAATAGTCAGATTCCACAATCAATGTACCACTGTAGACAGTCCCATACTTCTCAGCCGTACCATCAAACTTCAAAGTTGGCATATTTTTTGGCGATCCATACAACGTCACAAATGGTTTATTTTGTGGGATATTGATTTTCTCGTTGTACACTCCACCTCCAATGTACACAACCACACGCTTGGTGTTCCTCTCAGGGATGCTATTAATGGCGTCCGTGAGGGTTTTGAAGTTTCCACTTCCATCTTTCATGACCTTGATAAGTTTTGGACCATCCTCAGCCGTCACAAGAGCGGCGTCAAGCGCGCCCTTGCATTCTGCTAACGGCTTAACGTTGTTATCGAACCAGCTGCCGACTTGGGAACCATCAGCAGGTATCGGTGTCGAATCGTCGGCGGCGGTGGCATTAGCAGCGAGGAGAATTGTTATAACTATAAACCCAGCTCCAGGCAGGATCATGCATGTCGGTCTTCCAGCCATCTTGTTATTGCGATAAGCTGCCTCGAGTTTCAATGATACACAATTCTAATTAGGCTAGGCCTAGTATATATATTGGTTCTATGAACTGGAAATCCTAACGCAACGAGGAAGCATAAGGAAATCTAGTTAACAAAAGGAAAAACAACCCCAATCCAAATGGGAAATAAATTAAAGCACACAATTACCAAAACGTGCATGTATGTTTGTTTGGGTGCTTATGAGATAGACGGTTAGATGTTTTTTCTACATCGTGGTAAAATAAAGCATATAATGTAACCTTTTTTTTTCTTTCTATATGTTATAGTGAAGACCTTTATATATATATATATATATATAAATACAATTAAAAGGCTAAGTTCATAGATACTTTAAGAAAAATTAGGTAGAAGTCACAAAATATAAAGGACTAATTTTGGTTTTGGGTTTTGAATTTTATTTTGGAAAAACTCAATCAAGAGGCCCAAAGTCATTGGGCCTATTTAAATTAATAAGGGAAAAGACAGCCGAAGTTTGGGCCACCACTTGGACCACCACCGGTCAGCACCCGCCGTCAACAACTATCAATGTACGCCAACCGCCGCCGTCCCTTTGGTGGCAGCCATGTGGCACATTGCTAAATCACCTTCAATAATTTTAAAAAATACGAGATATGCCATTTAGGGGATTCGAAACATGTCCTCCGCTTTGAGAAAAAGGCATATAACCAAGCTAGCTATCCCCCATGATATCATGAGATTTTCCTTACGTACTATATTGTTCAACATAAACTTAAATATTTTATTTTTTCTTATCAAATTAGAAAATAATTTTTCACCAATTAAAATTCATCTTATTAAAGTAAAAAAAAAAATTGTGAAACTACACTATATAATTATTATTTGTTATTATTCTCCTACCTTTTTTTGTATTGCTATTTCATGTTTTTTTTTCTTTCCTAGTTTTCTTAGCAATTGATTTTGTATAATTACTAACATATCAAGTCACTATTCTCTTGTAAAAATACATAAAAGGAGTAGCATTTAACTTGTCAATTTAATTGTAAAATAATATATAATGATATAAAGCAATTAAACCTAAAAATATCAATATAAAAGTAACATAAAAATACATATTGCATTGCAGTTTTAATTATATAAACATAAAAATACCAATACAAGAGTAATATTTAAGGGTAATGATTTCCCCACTCCAATTTTATCCACTTACACTCCTGTTTTAGTTATAAAATGGAATGTAAGTGGATAAAATTGGAGTGAGGAAATTACCACTCATATTTAAATGTACCAATATATTGGTTGCAATTTATGTGTTATAAACTTAAAAGTAACATAAAAATACACATTATATCGTAGTTTCAATTATATTAAAATACCAATATAAGAGTAATATAAAAACACACACTAAGTTGTAGTTTATATGGAGTTTATGGTCAATCTCTCACACGCGAGGAGAGCCAAGAGAAACGGCTAGGGTTTCTTGTCCTTCTCTTCCGTCCACTCCCTACAGTCGGCGCCCTCACCTGGGTTGTGGTCCTCAGCATGGATGCCTTCTCCTATCTTCACGGTGCGTTTTCTTCTGTGGTTCCTTCTCTGTGGAGATTTGGTTCTGTTAGGGTTCTTGTGTTGATCTATGGTGTCTTCTTGGTCAGGTCCCTCACGTGTTGGTTTTTTCGGTAGTATGGTAATGAGGGTTGCGATATGGATGGTTTCGCGAGGTGCTGGTGGTGCATGGTAGAGGTTTATAGGTGGTTGGCGTCTAGGTTTTTTCTTGGGCCATATGGATCTTGTGCATTCTTGGATTCTCGCCGTTGGGCACGATTTTTGACAGCTAGGGTTGTTGGTTGTAATCTATGTTCCCATCTCTCCGGATTCTTTTGTGATGGGACCTGGGATCCGGGTGGTGATAAAGCCCTTACTGCTTTTGAACAATTTTTCGGGCCACACCCTATGCTCACGGATTCTCCTAGTGAGTGTAGAATTTGCATCAACAAGTTTGCTGATAGGGTGACGGAGACCAGCCTCGAGGAATCTCCCAGTTTTCCCTGATGTGTTCGCTGGAACGTTTGTGCACTTGGCATCCGATAAATGTTCCTACTGTGTGATCTTTTGGAGAAGTTCGTCATGCTAAGAGGCCACTGTTGATCCCTCTGCCTTATCTGTGAGGGATATGTATTAAGAATGAAGGAGATGGGGCATTTGTGCTCTTTTTGGGGTCCTTCTTTGTTTGCCCCTATGGTTTCTTTCTTGGTGTGTTCTCTATTGTCTTTGCGTGCTTTACAACTCTTGTGTTGAGATGACCTAGGAGAAAGGGATGGAACAATTGTCTCATTAATTACATACATAAAATGGGCATATGATCATCATATAATTTTAATGGATTTGTCCGTCCGTTGGCAACTGCAAAAGTAGAGGACTGGCTAGAGTCAGTAATATTGCTCGGTCATTCCAATCATTTTACTAAATGAATAATTTAACTAGCATAGCAACACAAAATTGCAAAAATAAAATATCTAAGTCAGATAAAAATTTATGCCACTTATCACTTCACCTGAATCAATAGATGTTTTAGTTTACAACAAGTCTTCAGTGGAACTCACACCTCCATAGTCCAGTTCCGTGTATGTGTGGCATGACATGATGCATCCACAATGGAGTGGCTGCACAAGGTAACAAATGAATAGAAACTTTGTTGATCCATATAGCATAATGCAAAATGAAAAATTAGACCAAAATAAAAACATAAGATGAAGTTGCCTGCTCACCATTCTACGAACAGCACGATGTCTCCAACCATCACCACACCACCAGAATGAAAAGTTTCACAGAACTGATCATTTATATAAGCAGAACTAAATTTGCAAATAATGAAGTCAGTTACTAAGTGAAAGTACACATATAGTCATATGAAATTGCTAGTCTTGAACTTACTTGAAGGTTGGGAACTTCATGCCCATAGTTCCAACCCTAATGTTTAGAAATTCCAATCTGCTAGCAAATTGACATGATGAATAATAAAAAATTTAGTAATTATACCAAGTCTTCATTATCTCTTCACACGCAACCATATCAAGTTAGTATCATTGAGTTGAGATTCAAAATATATTCTACAAATTCAAGAAAATTTGTTGGCAAAGTGTTATGATAATAGAGATACCTCTGGTAAATCATTGATTCGATGTTATAAAACTTCGCGTCAACGCATGCAGTACTACCACAATCTTCATATTCATTTTGCCCTTCACACGTTTGAGAAACCTTCATATTTATGTAAAACCCAAAACTTAATATGTAATCAAGAAAGGAGATTGACAAAAGCTTTTGCTCATACCAACCTAGTTTTCAAGTCACTTTTTATAGCTGAAGAGATGATTCTAGAATGGCGGTTTTCAAAAACAACAGGCCTAATCTGCGTTTGGTATGCGGTTTTGAAATTGATCCTTTCTAAGGAATTTCTCTAAATCAGTTCCACAAATCCGTTACATTCCTAGTCTCGGTTTCCAAGTTCTAAACATGGACATATATGAACTAGGAAATTTATTTATGACTTTAACAAAATTGTATGCAATAAAACGAAAGAGCTCCGCACCTAGACGTCCCTGAAAACATTAGACTTTAGTAAAAAGGCACTCACAAGCTGCAAACATGGGCTTAGCCAAATTGGCTAGAATGGATGTGTTCCCTACTCTGCACCCAAGTTCAATTCCCTCTCCTTATAGTTTAGATTAGATATTGTTTGTATAAAATAAAATAAAACACTCACAAGCCCAATTTAAACTAAAAGGGCCCATTTGACATTTAAATACGCAAAAAAGAATACATAATTAGACATGCAAAATACAGGTCTGCTATCTACTTCGCACCTTGCACATAACCAAACAAAACCTAAATGTTTACATGTGTATAGAGTTTGGAGTACTTCTTTTGCCTTCTTCCTCGTTTGGTAGCTTGTATTAGTTAATAGTGATAAAATTCTTTACTAATAAGGATATCATAAATGGAGTATTTTGGTTTTCGGCTTGGTCGGTGGGGTTTAAATTTTCTTTTGTATTAGGTCACTGAGGTGGCCCAAATTTGCATTAGTCTTAAATTAAGGAGATAATAGGTAGTAAAGTTGCTATAATTCTTAATGTATGGTTGGTATCATAGCTATAACATTTCTTACTATTGCTTTACTGAATTTTGCAGCTGCCTTATTTATAAGGGAGCATTTCTGCTCACCATTTTAACCCAATGTATACTCTCACCACCCTTCTTATAACTTGACACTTGTCTATATGCTTGTAACCATAGTTAAAGTAATTCTTTGATTTTAAATTTTTAAGTATTTAAAATTTAAAAATAAAGTAAAATAATAATTAAATAACATTAAAAACTCTCTTTCCTTCACTCTCCCTCTTCCCGACGAGGCCCACCCACACCAACCGCTCCTGCACGACCACCAGCTCCCGTATACGTTCAGCGGCGACACCAAAATCCTCGCCATAGATCGCAACATCAAGCTCTCCGCTTTCGCCTCCAAGCTCTTCTCCCTCTGCGACACCCCGAACGACGTCGTCTACTTACCAGCTCTCCGACAAAGATCTCGACGCCCTCATCTCCGTCACCAACGACAAGGACCTCGACCACATGATGATCGAGTAAGGTCAGCTCTACCGAGCTTCCGCTAAGCTCGTAAGGCTCAGGCTCTTCCTCTTTCTTCTTAGCAACAACCATCCCGTTAGCTTCAGCTCCAACGAGACCAAAGTCGGAGCACTAGTGGTTCATGGATGCTCTGAATTCGGTCAAATCGAGTCTCCCGATGGTTCACTTCCAACGGCTCCGGTCATGGAGTGAGTCACCGACGAACCCAATCGGATCTTATCGGCGTGGGTGGTGGTTATGGTGGGGTGCATGGTTGAGGTTGAACAAGGTCGGGAGGTGGTTGGAGTTGCTGCAGGGGAATGTGGTGACTAGGGTTGGGTGGCTGGTTGTGGGGTGGGGGTGGGCCTCGTCGGGAAGGAGGGAGAGAGAATGAGAGAGTTTTTTGTTTTTTTAAAATGTTAGTTAATTATTATTTTAATTTATTTTTAAATTTTAAATACTTAAAATATTTAAAATTAAAGAGTTAACTATGGTAAGTCCTCAAGCACACTGGTGTGGTGTGAGACAAAATGCCTCCTATGCCTAAGTTAGCAATGTTAAATAGAGAAAGAGTTAGAGTTTTCTTAGTTCAATGAAAAATTGCCTTCTCCTACATATGGAGGGGGGTTTAAATTTGGCCAATTGGTGGATTATTAACCAATCAATTAGCCGTTTGACTTGGGACGTATGAGATATTTACCCAAAGTAGTGGAGTGTAATCTCCTTAATTACTGCTACTGCAGTTAATGAGGATATACCCAGGATTTGGGTTGATCTTTTGGTGGTGTGTTGCCTAAGGATAAGTCATGTTGGGCTTATCCCCTAAGCCTTATCTAATTTAGGCTTAGATCCGACAGGCGTCTGCACTCGTATTGGACTAGCTTGTCCATGGGCCTTTGCCTATCAGAAGGGCCTTGTGAGGCTTACGTGGGCAATTTGGGCTTAGGCGAAGCCTTAAACTGCCAGAGGAAGCGACCTTTGCCAACTTTGGAGCAATAGTTTCAACTATCGTCATTTAATGCTTGATTGGATGCTTCGTATCTTCTCTCGTCCTTTGCTAAGGGCAATTTTGTCCATTTGATTGCTTTGTCGTACACATGGCGTCTTATTATTGGTGTATGATTATTTGCTCCCACAATTATACTTAACATGTTTTGAGAAGTGGAACATTTAGGTATAGATGTTTGAGTATTACGGACTCTAGCATGTTGTTGCTTAATCTTGGTTCATTTTAGGACTTATGATTTGTTACCAGTAATCCACTTATGAGATTCACTAAGATGTGAAGAAATATGATATATTGAGAAAAGTAATATATCGTGCATAAATAGCTATAATTGATTATATGTTATCTATCTTGATGTTATGTGTAATCATTTTGTAAGGTCTGTACTTAGTGGGATTGTGTGAGCCATGGCGCTACACATTTTACTATTTTAAGCTAATGAGTAGGTTCACAAGGATGAGATTATTTTTACTTAATTTCAATATTAAACCGAAGTGTTTAGTACTCGGATCTTTACAGTAGAAAAATGAAAGTGTACTTGTACTGTCATTTTGGTAATGTAAATATTTATGTACGAATAATTTCCTCTAGATCATCAGCGAAAGTTTACATTTGAAAATCACTACTATGTTTTGATATTTAGTTGTGATTTTTTTCCTACAATCCTGATGGATAATAATATATTAAAAATGGATTGTAGGAATAAAATTGAGAGTTTGATTAAGAAATAAACAACTGAGAACAATTATTTAAAAAAAAAACAAAAAATTAAATGAATAAAATAAGAATGCCTTTTGTTTTGTGTGAGTGAGTGAGACCCCCCGCATCAGAAAAAAGAAGAAGAAAAAGAGTGAGACCCAAGGTGTTGGTTACAGAAGAAGCTAAATAGACACATAGTACATTTGATTGAGATGGGTGCCAATTACCAAAAGGAGAGAGAGAGAGAGAGAGAGTTAGTTAAAGTTGTGATAAAGAAGCAAACCATCAAGAATACAATATAAAAAAAAAAAAAAAAAAAAAGGAAAAAAAAAAAAAAAAAAAAAAAAAAAAAAAACTTAGAAAATAGAACTTATATCAACGAACATATGTCTTAATCCACCCGCACCTTCCATTGATAATTTCCATTCCATCTTCTTCTGCACCTCACACACACACATACTTCAACACCACGCCAAAACATTCCCTTCCTCCACCAACTGCTGCAACACCACCAACAACCCTACGCCTTCTCTCTCTCTCTCTCTCTCTCTCTCTCTCTCTCTCTCTCTCCTGTCTCTCTAACTGCACAACTAACGCTTAACACTAACATATATATTCTGTTATGGCCTCTAACTGTTTGATGCGCCTCTTCCATTTTCAACTCTCAGTTTCCTTCGTTTCTATAGCATTCGGTATTATAATAATATTATTATATGGAGACCAACGCCGCCTTTCCAACCTCACCCGATTCGTCGACCCGAGATTTCGGCTCCGATTTTGCCTCAATGTACCGCTCCATTTTCCCGCCAAAATTCACACTCCCGAGCTCCCTCTCCCTCACGCCCTCCACTCGCTCCTCCTTCTCCGATTCCGATTCCAACTCCGACGACCACCACCATAATCACCATGCTACGTCGCAGCGCCTCAGCCAGGCTCAGCTTATCCTCGAGTCCCAGGAGCTCCGCGACCACTACGATCTCTGCAGCTCTCACCTCCGCGACCTCGCCGACGAACTCGACTCTCTCCGCCGGGAGAACTCCCATCTCCGGTCAGCGAACGCCGACCTCGTCAAGCTCCTCTCGTCGCAGGCCGCCTTCCAGAGCTTCCTCCTCTCATCCTCCTCCTCGTCCGCGTATCAGAGTCCTTCCACGACGTCGTTTCTCGACGACTTTCGGCGGCTCGGATTCGGATCTCTCGGTCCTCGCGACGGCGTCGTTTCCGACGAGGCCTCGGATATCAGTCCCACGAGCGTCATCGAGCGAAACCGGTTCGACGTCGTAGACCGGGTTGCGCTCCCCAAGAGCATTTCCGTCCGCTCCTCGAATCGGCCACGTGTCCCTAGTCAACTCGTTTCTGGCTTGCCCACTGTGAGTAATTAATTAGTAAATTAAATTATTACGTGGCATTTTATTATTTTATTTTATTTGTCTGATAAATTTATGTTTATGGGCGGGTTCTGTTACTGTGGGTGCGGGTGCAGCAGAGCCAAGTGAAGGTGTTCAATCAGGGGATGGTGAAGACGGAGCTGTGCAACAAGTGGGAGGAGACTGGCACGTGTCCGTACGGAGAGAACTGCCAGTTTGCCCACGGCGTTAGGGAGCTTCGTCCGGTGATGAGGCACCCGCGCTACAAGACTCAGCTCTGCCGGATGGTTGCAGCTGGCGGCAAGTGTCCGTACGGTCACCGCTGCCACTTCCGTCACTCGCTGACTGAGCAGGAGAGGCTGCAACTGGCTGTGGCAGCAGAGACTCGTTTTGATTAGTGGATGGATAATATACATGGGACTGGGTTTTTTTTTAATTGGCCTCTTTTCTTTTTCTTTTTTCCTTTTTTATTTTGTTTTGTACATAGACCAGCCGTTTAAAGATTTGAGAACCAAAAATGTTCTAAATCCAACGTAAATAGTAAGAATAAGGAAAATGCCAATTTTTGTAACGGGGTGCTGAGAGGGGAAAATGTCAATTACTGATTTATTGCTCCTTTTTTTTGGGTCTTAATTTGATTATTATCTATATATACATTAATAGTCGGGTTTGTAATCATCCAAATGATGACATATATTATATGTATACACAAAGTTTTACGCAACTTTCAATCCAAGTCACAAAATGTGACGCCTACATCTCCATCCATGCATCTCATATGTAGTCAGGTGAGTGATTGATGGTGCATGTTGGTATCAATTTACGCATACAGATGTTGATAATATTATCTAACAAATGTCAATCAAATCTAAACAAATTCCTGATCAAGTATCAACCAATAACAAAATATCCACGAAATATCAAACAATCTTTTGTACATCCCTTGCCACATGAACTCATTGTAAGTTTTGAATTTATTAATTGAGTTTGACTGAATTTCACAAATACCACATGGATTTTGAATGTCGTTATTCTTGAATTAAATTGTTGTTTTAATATGTTTTGTGATAATTATGAAGGATTTGTGGAAATAGGAGAAATTGAGCTAAAAAAGGGCAAGAAGAAGAAGATTTGAGATTAATTGGAAAGGAACAAAATTATTCCTTTTATCATAAGGATTGTTGTCAAATTTCCTAGTTCAAGATGGTTCAAGTCTTACCAAGTCAAAGAAAGAGAAATCAAGAAGACCCTAGATTAGTAGGATTCCTATTTTTATAATAATTGTAATTATACATTAGATAGGTAGGATTTATAGGAGCACTATAAATAGGGGGATTTGGCTACTATTGTATATACTCGAACACCATCCAATTCTTACACAATCATACTCATAGCCGAAGTACATACCTTGAGGAGAACAAGAAGAGAGCTCGCACAACCTTGACGTTGTACTTGAAGAATTCGGTGCCTTCCATGTCTTCATCAATCATCATGTTTCCCAATAAGTCATTCATGAACTAATTTCTTTTTACTAAGGCTATGATGTAGCTTAGTTGTGAATACTTAAATTCTTTGATATTATTAATTTTATTTATCTATATATGCATGTTGAGTGTTTGTTACCGTTCTTAATGCTTTCAATTAATTGGCCACTAATTGCATGATTGGAAGAATTAGGTTAAAACCGTAAAGGGATGCCTAATAAATAGCTTCTTTTAACAAGTACCATAAATTACATAGCCGACTTAGAAGATTAACTTATGTTTTGTGTAGTCTTTAATATTTTCCATAAATCTTAATGAGTTCTTAATAATCTAAATCCATAATTAGGAATAGAGTGAGTTGATGATAAAAAAATAAAACTAATGTAACTCGGAAAAGAGTATTGGTGAGGTAAGGGAAAATGACTATCAACATGTTAGGAAAATTAGGATTAACAAGCTAGAAGGATTTGGGTGAGATTAGCTAGGTGAAATTGGTATCCTAGTGCTTTATTATCCTTATTTTCATATGTTACGTTATTTACTTACTCTTAATTTACTTGTTTACTTATATTTTTGTCATCATAATCCTTTTATTGTTTAATTTAAATATAATTAGGCATAAATCACTCTAATACTTAATTAATTAACTCGATCCCTGTTGGAATGATACTATACGTACTACTATATTAATTTGAGCAATATTGCCCTTTTACAATTATTCACATCAAATTTTGGCACCACTTTCGGGGATCGAGCTAGTCTGTTAATATTATTATGATTTATTAAATATCCAAAGTACAACTAGAAAATAAATCATACTAATATTAACATACTAAGCCAATCCCTGACAACGGCACTGAAATTTGATGTGAATAATTTTAAGAGGACAATATCTCTCAAATTAATATAGTAGTAAGTAGAGTATTGTTCCAACAAGGATCAAGTTAATCTATTAAGTACAAGGGTGATTTATGCCTGATTATATTTGAATCAAACAATAAAATGATTATGATGACAAAAATATAACTAAGAAAGTAAATTAAGAGTAAGTAAACAATGTAACAAATGAAAATAAGGATAATAAAGCACTATGACACCGATTTCACTTGTAGCTAATCCAGCCCAAATCCTTCTAGATTGTTAATCCTAAGTTTGCTAACAAGTTGATATTGTCATTTTCCCTTATCCCACAAATACTCTCTTCCGAGTTATATTAGTTGTATTCTTTACCCTTATCAACCCACTCTATAGTTATGGATTTAGATGGTTAACAACCCATTAAGATTTATGAAAAATATTAAAGACTATACAAACCATATTCTGAGTCAGTTATGTAATTTATGGTACTTGTTACAAGAAGCTATTTATTAGGCATCTCCTTCTGGTCTCAACCTAATTCTTCTAATCATGCAATTAGTGGCCAATTAATTGAAAGCATTAAGAACGATAACAAACACTCAGCATGCATAGATAAATAAAATTAACAATATCAAAGAATTAAGTATTCATAGCTAGACTACATCGTAGCCCTAGTAAAAAGAAATTAGTTCATGAATGACTTACTGAGAAACATGATGATTGATGAAGACATGGAAGACACCGAATTCTTCAAGTAGAACACCAAGGTTGTGCAAGCTCTCTTCTTGTTCTCCTAAAGGTATTTCGGCTATGGATATGAATGTGTAGGAATTGGATGGTGTTCCGGTATATAGAATAGTGGCTCAATCCCTTATATATAGTACTCCTAGAAATCATACCTATCTAAGGTATAATTACAATTATTATAAAAAATATGATTGCTACTAATCTAGGGTCTCCTTGATTTCTCCTTGTGGAAAAGATAGGTGAAAGTGAGGGAAATCTAAGAAATTGATATAAATATAGATGAACAAGGGTTCAACACATGATTGAAAGAAGACAAGAGAAGATAAGCAATGGTTAATTGAAGAAGACAAGTGGAGATGAGTAAGGTTCATAGAATATGATTCGGGAGTCTTTGAAGAGTCACAATGCTTTGAAGAGGGGGATATAATTCCGAAGTTTTTGGCTAAAACACCGGATATAATTGTGAATGTTGATTCTAATCATATTCGTATACATATAAACTGGGAGTTCATATAAGGAGTTTGACATCTAAATTTATATTTTCCAAACTGTTACTACGAATCTATATTATATATCTCAAAAGTTTTGTATTTTTATTTTTTCCATTGCTCAACGTTCAGTTTGAAAGACTAAAGAACAACTTCTATTTAGATTGGAAAATCACATGTACATGCACATTGAGATCATAATTATTGGACTTGCCACATCAATAAAATGAGGATAACATGACAAATTTACCCTTAATGACATTGACATACCGGTCGGGAAGTAAGTAGGACCTTTTTCTTTCAACTAAATTCTAGATTTTGAAAATAAAAATTCATTTCTATATAAGACTTTGTTGCAGGATAATATGAATGATTGGATTTTGTCTAAAATAAAGTTCAACAGTTGATAATAACCAGAAAACAATGGGCTACAAACGAACAAAACGACTCTATTCATTGGATTCTCTTTTAATTACAAACACTATCCTGATTAGCAATATCTAGTTTCAGATTACATCTTGACTCCTTTTGACCTAAAACTTAATTGCTCATGGATTCTTCTAACTTAAAGACAAATAACCAGATAAATAAAGTAAAAGCAAATTAAAAATGTTGCTTTCCCACTAGTGAACACTGTTTAATGTCTCTCTTCACATGAAAATCAGGTGATAGAACTAGAAACACTTCAAGCCTTTGTAACCAGAAACGAGCTAGCTAGACAATTCAGGCCAGTACTTATGGATGTGAACCATTCTATCAATATCACACCCTCTTCAAACACTTCTCCAGAAATGCACGGTTTCATGTCGACGGGCTCTTTCGAGCTACCCAATTACTACTCTTGTCCGTCTAGCAGAGAGGTGAAGCTAATTGCCATCCATTTTCTGTTAGACTAGAGATTGCATTCAAATAAATCAAGTATATTTTCCTTCCAGTTTCTTATGCTAGATACCATGTGTTCTTTGCTTTCTTTTGTTTTTTTTTTCTTGCTAATAATTAAGTAGGAGGCCGATCAGGAGGCTAAGCAATCCAGTTTTATGGAACTTCAGAAGGAAGAGATAGAGATATTCTGGAATCAGCAACTGTTTGAAATTCAAAACACAACAGGTTTGTTTTTTCTCTTGGTCCAAATTTTGATTTTTCTTCTGTCTTTGGTCATTGCTACAGTTTTAAGCTAGTGCCCCAAAATAAAAACAAAAACATACAAAAGTATAAAAAATAAAAATAAAAAAAGGGATAGGACCCAAACTGTACTTTTATTGTACTTTTGAGTTAAAAGCATTACATATGATTTCTGTTTATTTATGTCAAAGTGTACTTGTTTTAATTTTTTCTATCATTATTTGAAAACACCGTTAGCGCTAGCACAAGTTAGTAGTTGTTAGCCATCATTTTTTTTAGATGTTCCAAATCTTTTGTTTCTTTAAGAAGCAAAATCATTACAAAAGGTTTTGATCAGGACCTACATTACGAAAGGGTTATATATATAGATACGGACCTAGGATTTTAAAATGAATTGGGCTAAATTTACCTTATGTAAGCACTAGAGAGTGGAACATAAAGGTGCAATTATTGCAGCATACCATTCGTTTATTTATTTATTTATTTTCACTTAAAGGGATTATGTATGAGGTCTATCAGTGAAAGGAAATTAGCATTAGGCTGTCCATAATAAAATAAAATAAATAAATATAAACATAAATAAAAGAAGTTGGCAGTATGCTAAAAAAGTAAGAACAATACGGAGATATTTTACATTTTAGAGAAAACTTTATAGAGATGTCCTACATAAGAATGTCCAGGAATATTCGAAGATAATTCATCAATTCATTAGTTTGTCTTATCTTCTTTTCCTTGATTGCATTGTTAAACAAGTGATGTCATGATTGTCATTAACAAGCATGGGGGGGTTAAATTAAATTTTTGGTTGATAAAATAACAACTCACCTGGACTATAGCCCGTGTTAGTCCCTTCTAGGGACTGTCCGAAGCTATTCTTTAAATTTCTATATAGTATGACTAATGATCACGTACTTCTTTATAATGTATGATACAGTGGCAAAAGCACACCACGAACTCCCTCTTGCCAGGGTCAAAAGAGTCATGAAATCTGATGGAGAAGTCAAGGTAGATCTGCACATTCATCAATTGATGATATGCAAAACCCTTTCTATAACTTATTTATTTTTTATCTATTATTGGAGAGTAATGTTTCAAAAAGATTAACTTGAAAATGTGTTAATTTTCTTTGCAGAAGGTGAGATCGGAGACTCCGGTTTTGTTTTCGAAAGCATGTGAGCTTTTCATTATGGAGCTCACACTTCGTTCATGGCTACACACTGAAAGAAGCAATAGACGTACGTTGCAGCATTGTGACACTGCCAGGGCAATTATGCAGGATGAGCTGCTTCACTTTTTAGTTCATGCTGTTCCATTCGACCATGCTCATTGCCATAAGGTGTTTCTTCTTAAATATTTGCTTGTCTATTATTTTCTTAGTTTGCACGCACAACACCTTTATTAAGTGAAACTCACCCAAGAACATATATAACGAGTATATTTTTGGGCTTATAACTTTAATGGTAGAGCATTTATCCCTCATCTATGACTACATTTGACTCTTCATTGTCCTCCTTTCCTCATAAATAAAAGGATAATTCAATCATATTAGTATGTGTATATGATTAAACTTGGAAAGGCAGTATGAAAATTATAATTATTTCTCAGGAAGAGGAGATTGGAAAATTTTCTCAAAACGTTGATTCTCGTACTACTGGAGCATTGCGTCTTCGTGAGACAAACCAGCTCGGTGGGGTGAGTGTTTAAGAAACTCGATTACAACATCCTCTCGCCTTTTTCTCTATGCTAAGTAGATCTATGCACCCCATACACTGTTTGTGTGGGTTTATTTTAAAATTTAACAAGTGTCAAAATCCCATTTGTTGTCCCATCGAGTTTTTGTTTGTATATAGATTTTTTGACTGATTTTATTGATTAGGGTATGGGCGAAATGAATCAAGTGCTTCAGCAATACATGATTGACCCATCAATGTCCTCGGCTGAACTCCATCGTGACTATTTTGAAGGTGACAAATTGCACTTTCTTCTCTTTCTCCTCCATCTTATATATATGCAAAGTAACCACGATGAATTTATTTATTTTTCTTCTGAATAATTTTATAAACAATGCAGATGATGAATGATTGGATTTCGGGAAGAAGAAGAGGAAGAAGATGAAGATTTGAAAAGTAGAATTGAAGCTTAGAAAGACTGTATTTCAGTTTCTGTATTGAGTTTCTTAATGATCAAGCTAAACAGTCTAACTACTCCAGCTAACCTCACTTTAACCAACTTAACCAAAAGCCCGTCCGCTGAACCTGACTGACTAACTACCTTCTTAACTAATTTATAGTTATCATTTTCCCCCACCCAGCCGAGTTCCTCAGTCGAAGGTGAAGACAATGTTGCAGAAAAATAGGACTGTGCAAGTTAGGAGCGGGCATTTGAACTAGTGAATTGGTGAACAGAGTATAAAAAAAAACCCTAAAACAATCCGTGTTGACTAAGAAAGTCAACCTAGGCTCAAAAACCGAATCAAACCACTTTGGATCGGTTCCCATCTAGGTTATTAATTATCTTGGAAATGGTATAAAATATATAAATATCTTAGTCCAGTTAATACCCAAATACTTTAGTATTAATTTATACCCAACTAAAATACTCCAGCCCAATTTCTTTTTCTTTTCAATGAAGCATATCCGTTCTTGCGCTTCTGCGTTTCTCTATTTTCAACCCATTTCTTTCTATTTCTCTTCCTATTTATATATTCACCCATTTTTCTCTTATTTTATCTCTTCTACCTCTTTCTCTCTTATTTATCAATTGTACCTATTTTTCTATACATTTTATTTCTCTCTTCTTCACATATTATATTCATATCATTCCAAACTAGAAATTGGGCCAAACTGAACCGGAACCGCATAGGTTCAGTTTGATTTGATTCTTCTAGACACTTTCTATAAAAATCAAACCGAACTGGACCGTGTGTAAGTTCTCTGGTTTTGAATCCAATTTGAGGGGAAAATCGGACTGTGCCCACCCCTGGTGCAAGCCTTTTGAAACACATCAGCTAGTTGTTCTTTCTGTAGGAATGTACTGCACAAACATGTCTTTTGTTTGCACCTTTTCCCTCACAAAGTGGAAATCAATATCCATATGCTTGATTCTTGGGTGATAAACAAGATTTGATCTTAAAGCCAGAGCTTGACAAGTTATCACAATACATAACAAGTGGGCTAGGAAGATAAATCTGTAAATCCAGTAAGACCTTACGAATCCATGAAATATTAGTTGTTGTATTGGGCAAGGCCCTGTATTCAGCTTCTGTTGAACTTCTAAAAACTGACCCCTGCTTTTTTGACTGCCATGAAATTGGATTGCTTCCCAAAAATACCACAAATCCAGTTGTAGACCTTCTATTGTTCATGTCTCCTACCTAGTCTGCATCACTGTAGGCACTAAGCTGCCAAAGACCATTTGTAAAAACTGATGCCATACTCTAATGTACCTTGAACATATATGAGAATACGTTTGACAAAAAGGTAATGAACTTTAGTGGGACTGGTCATGTACTGACACACAATATTCACTGCATAAGTTAAATCTAGTTTTGTGAATGTCATGTACAACGATGCTCCCACTATACTTCAAAACATGGTGGGATCAAACAAAGGTTCACCAGCCTCTCTTAAGATTTGAAGGTGCTCATTCCTGCTTTATTCAACAGATCTTTAGCATATTTAGTTTGGTTCAAAAATATGTCTCCTGATGAGCCATAAGATATCTGCAGGCCTAGAAAGTATGTAAGTCTTCTCATATACCCTTCATTTCAAATACTGCACTCAATTCAGTAATAACACTTTGAACCAATTGAACACTCGATCCAGTAAATATTATGTCATCAACATATAATAACAGAATCACAATTTCATTCTCGACATGTTTCACAGAGAGGCTTGGATCAGAATGGGATGATTTAAATCCTGGAGTAGGTAAGTAACCTGTGAATTTTGCATTCCATGCCCTTGGAGCTTGTTTCAAACAAGAGAGTTCTGAAGTTTGCAAACAAACTGTGGATGAATAGGATCTTCAAAACTTGGTGGCTGCTTCGCGAAAACTTACTCTTCAAGATCTCCATGCAAAAAGGCATTCTTGACATCAAGTTTCCTTAATTTCCATTGGATCGTAGCATCAAGACTTAGAATCAACCTCACTGTTGTATGTCGAACTACTGGACTAAAAGTCTCCCCAAAATCGAACCCCGATTCCTGGCTAAACCCCCTGAGCCTTAAGTCCATAAGTCGAGCTTTGTATCTGGCCACTGAACCAGCAGAGTTCCTCTTGATTTTGTATATCCAGTTGCTACCTACAATGTTCTCATTCCCTAAATTAGGTACCAAAATCCATGTACCCTACATATTTAGGCTGATACCATCATAACAGAGAAAAGAAGCTAGGGTTTTCAAGAAGTAGAAGAGGAAGAAAACGAAGATTGAAACGCAATGAGACGACTCTAAGTGCAACTTCCATAGCTAATTAATTTTACTATTTTATCTCCAGACTTTCAACCACTACTAGTACTTAATCACCAGTCTAGCTAACACTATATAAGCGTTCAAGTATCTATTGCTGGAATTATTTGACAGTTAAATTATTTGTCTTGCAGTGATCGAAAACAAGCGAAACAGGATGAAGTCGCAAGCTCTTTTTCCTGGAGGGTCAGCGTGTAAAAGTTTCTAAATTATTGTTTTCTCAAGTTTTCTTTTGGATTAACTGGTTCTCAACAGAAACTAATCTCTAGTAATAACATAAAATTCTAGCTGGTCATGAGAGAATACTCCATTGTAATCTTACTAGTTTAGATATAAATACCAGTATCACATCAATGTGTAATTGAATCGAATCATTCTAATAGAAAAGTCTCTATGTCTTCCTTCTCTTGTCTCTCCTTTTTCTCGTATAGTTAAGATGGTATCAGTGCCATTAAGCTTGCACTTGTTCTGGCTCTCAAGTTCAATTGTTTCTTTTCTCTGTTGCACGAAACTTATGACGATCTTTGTTAAAATTAATATACTCTCCTTGAATATATTCGACACCAACACAGGCTTGAGCTTGGGCCAAAAAGTCTCCATCTGGGCTAGGCTGAATCCCCCCATTAGAAACGAGTGCTTCTATAGTGAGTGGAAAGTTATAAGGGGTTTTTTTGAGGGGTATGTAAGAGCCGTTGGATTTCATCCAACGGTGAGTTTTTAAAAGAGGGTGCATGTAGAACCGGGTTGAAATCTGACCCGTTTGGAGACCCAACTTCAGCTGAAGATTTTTCCCTCTCTGTGAAAAACTCAAGAACACAATCCTCTCTTTTTTAATGTAATGCAAATCCACAATTAGAAAGATCCAAAGCTCCCAAACTCTATAATCGCTCCATTGTCATCAGCTCCTTGGGAGGCCTGCGATCTATGGTATCCTCGGTATGATGATTAATGGCTTTTACCTAGCTATTGCCCTGTTTTGATTCTATGATTGAAGTGAAAACCCCTTCTCTTTTTCGTTCAGCAGAAGAGATTCCAGATGAAAGCAAAGTAGCATATCTCTTTTTCGTGCTGCTGCAGTTGTTCCTGGATTTTGGTAGAGATGGAGTCTCCACTACGAAAGAATCCTCTCTAATGTCCACCACATTCTTTGAAGCTGACTGAGTTCGGAGCTCCCGATTGACTTTGAGAGGTAAGTTCACTCTTGCTGGATTGATTTTGTTGGGTTTGATTTGTTTTTTGTGAGGGTGAGAAATTTGTCATTTGTGGCATCAATAATGCGTCATTTGCTCTGCTATCAATAATGCGTCATTTGACTTTGAGAGGTAAGTTCACTCTTGCTGGATTGATTTTGCTGGGTTTGATTTGTTTTTTGTGAGGGTGAGAAATTTGTCATTTGTGGCATCAATAATGCGTCATTTGCTCTGCTATCAATAATGCGTCATTTCCTTATGAATATTCAATATACTTAGTTGATTATTTTTGTTTGGAGGGGGATTGGAAAATTATGAAATGTAGGTAAAAGATCCTAAACTTAGGCTTAATGGCATTAGAAGTAAGCATTTGGAGAGGATATTGGGTGAAGTTCTGTAATTGCTGGTTTGAATTACATTTGAGTTCTTAGTTGAACATGTTGGTTCTAATGTTATTTTTTCCAGATTATTTCACAAGAGATGACGTAACTAGTATTAAATTTTGCTTGTGTTTTGTGTAATCAGAATCCAACAAGCTAGGCTATGCGTGTATTGTGTCAATTTGGGCAATGTTTTGTGTAAGTGGAATGCATTGCTAAGTTGTGATGCAGTAATGATTGATTAATGAATTAACATTTGCTATGCAGTAATATAGAAGTAGATCAATAATATACGTGGATAAAATGTCTGGGGGCTCAGAGAGTGACGACTCTGTAACAGCTAATGGGAGGGTTTACATTCCTGAAGTAAGAAATGAGGAAACACCAGCAGTTGGGATGAAGTTCGACTCGCTTGACCTCGTTTATAATTTCTATAATAGATATGCATTCTTGGCTGGCTTTGGTATTCGACTTCATTCCAGCTTTTGGGGGAAAAATAAGAAAGAGATTCTGAGAAAAGAATTTGTATGTTGCAAACAAGGTGCATACCGGAATGATGAAACTCGGGAGAGAAAAAGACAACGGGGAATAAGTAGATGCAATTGCAAAGCTAAGATTGTGGTTGTGAAGACACATGGGAGCAAGAAGTATACCATCTCTCTTTTTGCAGAGGGACACAATCATAAGATGACACCCTCAGGAAGAATGCATTTACTGAGATCACACCGTCGTATTTCAGATTCTACAAAAGTACTTACAAAACAGTTGGGTTCGGTTAATATTCCCATTAATCAGAAGGTAAGTATTTTCGAGGTGCAATCCGGAGGAATGGATAAAATCGGTTTTATGAAAAAGGATATGTACAATCTTGAATGTAGTGTGAATGAGAAGCTGAGGAACCACGATGTTGAACTAGTGACCGAGTATTTTATGGCTGAACAGAAAAAAAATGAGGCTTTTTATTTCAAGATTGAGGGAGATGGCGATAACAGGTTTAGTCGATGTTTTTGGGCAGATGCAACTTCTAGACGGGCGTACGGGTTTTATGGAGATGTTGTTGTATTCGATACCACATTCAACACGAAAAGATACGACTTGACATTTGCACCAATGTTGGGAGTTAATAACCATGGTCAAACAATTGTCCTAGCATGCGCATTTTGAGCAAGGAAACGACTGAGTCGTTTATTTGGATGTTTGAGGAGTTTAAGAAAGCCATGCCAGGTGGCGAACCTAAAACGATCATCACAGATCAAGATGCGGCAATGAGCAGAGCGATTTCAATAGCCTTCCCGACTACATTTCATCGACTTTGCATATGGCACATCACATCAAAGTTCTCTGTTAAGTTACCACATTCTGCTTATAAGGAGTATTGGGGTGAATTCCAGAAAGCCATATGGGATACTGACAATAAGGATGAGTTTGATGCAAAATGGAATATTGTGGTTACAAAGGCTGGTTTGACTGACCATCCATGGCTAAGTTCAATGTTTGATTTAAGGGAATCTTGGGTTCCAGCCTACGCACGACACTTTTTTGCCGCTGGAATGTCAAGCAGCCAAAGAGCTGAATGTTCTCATGGTTTCTTCAAGCAATACATATCAAGGAAAAAATTCGTTGATGGATTTCATAATAAGATTTGAGAGGGCACTTTCTCATCAACGTCAAAAAGAGTTAGTTGCTGATCACGTAGATGCATTTGAAGTGGCTCAATGTATTCTACCGATGCCAATGAACAAACAAATGGCTACCTTGTACACAAGGACAATGTTTCAAAAGTTTGAGCAAGAACTAATACAAAGTACAGCATGTTTCCTAGAGCTGAAAACAGAGGATGCTTCTAAAGTTGTCTTTAATGTGAGCGAAAGGAAAAATTGGGAAACAAGAGTGGCAGAAGTCGTATATGTCAAAGATTCTGACCACGCATCGTGTAGCTGCAAAAGATTTGAATTTGTTGGAATTATTTGCAAGCACATCCTAGCATTGTTCAGAAGGGACCAGATTGAATATATGCCCGATAAATACATTTTGAAGAGGTGGAAGAAAACTGCGAAATTTGGATTGGTGTCAGATGCAAATGGCAACGAAATTAAAGACTCTGCAGATCCTGGTCTTTTAATAAAGCGGAGTACAATGTCCCGACTTGCTTCAGATGTGGTTGAGGATGCATTAATGTGTGAAGAAGGATGTGAGCTACTGTCAGAGACTCTAAAAAGTTTGCAGGTGAAGTTGAAGTTGTTGAAGGATGGACCAAGTAATAACGAAGTTGGAGGGTCCAGCTCTCAAACACAATATATGAAAGACCCTAAGAGAGTAAGGTGCAATGGAGGGTCGAAACGAGTAACGGGAGCAAAGGAAAAGGCAATGAAGCGAGGGATTAGACACTGTCGGGAGTGTGGACACATTGGTCATGATAGAAGACAATGCCCAAGAAATTTGAACACACCGTAAGATGTTAACACTATTTATAATAAGACCTAAAATTTGAATAGGTAAAGTTCTTATGTGCTTCTGTTTGATGTTTATGCAGGACATCACCGTCGAACAATGACGAATCAACTCCAATAGATCTTAGTGACCCATTATTTGACGAATTTTACAGGATGCACGGACCAACTCAATGATTTAGGTTTCTATTATACGAAGCCCGGTTATTATGAAGACTAATGATCAGGTGAAGTTTTGTAGATGCAGTTTTATTATTATTAATTTTTTGTTCATGTCCACCGATGAGCTCTGACTATGTCCATTGATAATTGAAATGAAAATTTGCTTGGTTTCATTCTTGCATGAAATTTGGACACATGTTAATTTTACGTCTTCTCCCTATTTAGAAATTTTCATGGACATTAGATAAAGCATCAAATTTTGATTTATGTGAACAAGCAATGACTTTTACCTTGTAAAATGGGTAGTTTATGGTGAATTATGTTTGAATAGAGATTTATTGATTATATGACAGGCTAATGCAGCATTTCCAGCAGCCAGCTATTGTTTCCATTACCAGTAATGATTTCCAGCAGCACGCATCATTTGTAGCAGCACCCACTTTTTGCGAATGTTATGTTCTAGTGTTTTACTGGTGATTAAGATCTGAGCTGGACTGGTTATTAGGTGCACGATTTTGCAAACATTCGTAGCTGAAGGATACTTGAAGCACTTTGTTGGAACAGAAAGATTAGAAAGCAACGTGTAAAAAAGTACATTGCAGCTAATCACATTTCGAATGGTTGGGTAATATTAAAGGGTACACTAACATTTGAACTACTCATAATTCCACACACAAAAGAAAATTTGATTGCAAAGCATTTTATGTGCTCCCTCTTAGCAATAGCACGATCTCCCCAATAAACTGAACAACGGTAGCCACAATCACTAGGTCGTATTGGTCAGCTTCTTCTTAGCAGGTCTCGCGTGCTTATGGTCACTCATGTCCCCAGTGATTTAGACAAAATAAATATTCAGCAATATTTGGAATTTTATTATATATACATAAACCATAAACCATTCACTACACAATGTATAGCACATGGCATTTTACTTATGACTCACGTGTCATGATAATGGGGCTTTACTGATTACCAGGGTGCTGTGATATTGACTGCTTATTGAATAATATTTCCATAGTTGCAAAATATAATGTTAGACAGAAGGAACACATGATGACTTGCAAGACATAGTCCCAATAATTATATATGAAGCAAATGAAACTGATATTTGTATTATTTTATATTAGATAATGACATTAAGGGAACATAGTTCTAATTTGTGCAATACCACGATCACCCCCAACCAACAGAACAGCTGTAGCCGCAATCACTTAGCCGTATCGGTCGGCTTCTTCCGAGCAGCTTTGACGTGCTTATGCTCATTCATGTCACCACCATCGTCTAGTATCTCTCTCACAGCATCAGGGGACACATAGTCCCAATTATAACTTGTATGAGTTGTTGCCGCGAATGCTCGGAATTTTTCGAATCCTTCGTTGAATGCCAACTCCAGTTCACTGTGGTGCTCTTCGCATCGCATATGGTTCATCAAACAACCTTTAATTTCATCATTCATTACTGCATCCAACTCCTCAGCTTTCAGCTTCCTTTTATGACTCAGCTTCAAGTACTTGTTCTTTTGGGAGAACGCTTTGTTCACTCTAATGTTAAGATCAGCCAAAATGGCCTCGTCTTCAACACATTTCTCGTGCCATGAATTGATCAGTCTGGAATTATAATCCAGCTTGGTACTGACAGCATCTATTGCCTCTAATGGATCATCGGAGTCCCCCTCACTCCCAAATGATGTTGAAAATGGAAGGGGTCGGCGAGTACAACGTGGAAACGGAACCTGCGACTCCAATTTTCATCTTCGATTGTGTTGTTGGCGCCTGAAGAGGTTGACATACTTGAATAATCCTATTTGTTTTGGAGGATGAGGATTGCAGATGCAATTTCGTTTGAGAAATGGAACATAGCTTTATAGACCAACAGACCAAAGCTTGCGTGTAGTCAACATATCTACTTTATTTCAATTTTAAAAAACAGGTGTCAGGTTTTGCTTTTCAAGCATGTCAACCTCACACTCTCCTTACACCACTGTTAGTGGTTGAAAGAAACTCAATGGAAGTGACATCTAGTTAGTGAACCCAACCAAACTAAACAAACTAGTTAGGATTAAACTTAGCTTGTATGAGACCTTTTTTCATTTATACATTGTCAACCAAATGTTTTTTTGGCGGGAACCCTTTTTTATTGGTATTACTATCACCCCCTTCATAAAAATTCTCCCTCCACAAAAAACTCACTCCTCCACCGAATGTGTCTCCATCTACTGAAACTCTCTCCTCCACAGAAACTCTCTCCCCCCATTTAATGGATTTACTAACCAAGTTTGATGTGAGCGTAATAAACACCCCTCCAAACAAAGACCGCCTTCGAAACGCAAGTGAGTCACCAGACAAGCAATGTCACTTTCCTAGACAGAATGACCATTTTGTTGGAAGTTTTGAGTCTGAAAGAGTTCTTGCTTTCTGGAAGGAGAGGCATCTTCAACTTGGTGATGAAATCCAAAGGGCAAGGGTACGTTTGGAATTTGTTGAAGGCCAAATTGAAGATGACAAAAGGCAGGCCAATCTGGATAGGGCGAAGTTGCAGCGCATGAAGCGTAGACACAAACGACTTCGGAGTGTAGCTGTTCAAAAATACAAGAACTCATCTAATGCAAAGGAGTCAAAGAAGCGTGTGATGCAAGCTGGATTCGACTACTTCCGGTCCTATGCAAAACTCGTCGTACCCGGGTTTGATTGGTCATCTATTACCGTTTCCGACGTTAACAAATATACTCAGCAAGGGAAGTGACCATTTTGGTTATCGTGTTTGAGTAGAGGCAAATCAGAGGAACTGGAATTTTCGTTAAGCTCTGCTTCAAACCTATTTTGATGCTTACTACTATAGAAGATTTCAACCTTCATATTTTCATGTCTTTAATTACGATAACACGATGCAAAGTGCCCATCTACTTCAGTCATATGTTGCTGCCATGTCCATTTTTTGTGATCACGTATCAGATTTGGACATGGTTGCATCATATGCAATGTTGCCTTTATGTATTATATGTTAGGGTAAGGTTTATGGAAAAGCATGTGTGACTGGTTTTGTGACAAGGTTATGGCATTATTTGTACCAGTTATATATTGTTTTTTGTACTGGTTCATCTCCTACTATTGCTTTATTTCTTTATATTATATGTTTATGCGATTGGACATGATAGAAAATATATTACTGATTCCCAATGCGGCGTCATAAGGACAACTTATTGAATACCGCCAACGTGTTGAAAACTCTAGGTGCAGGTGCATATGGACAACTTATTGACTATATCTGACGTCTTCAAAGCTCTAGGCGCATGCGCAGTTCCAATTATGGCTTCCAAGTAGTGGTGCATTTATTATATATGTACATTATTATAACCAAAACAGATAATTTTACATCCTTATATATGAAAGGAAACTAATTCTTGTATTAGTACAAATTATATAACGAATATTAAGGAAATATACTTGTTAAAGTGAACAACATATATACTTAGGGTTAAGAGGAAAGTGAGTTATGTAAATCATTTTTGAATTTTTAATTGCGAAATGGATGATCTATGGGTTCCCCTCGTTTTATAACGTCACACGGAGGCCGGAGTATTTTTCGGGGCATTTTTAGGATTTTTCTACTATGTATTGCATTTTTTCAAAGATTTTTGCACTAAAAAAGCCAAAATAATTGCCAAATGGACACCTGGCGCGATCTCAGCCCCTCACCTTTCACCCCTTGACAGGTGTGCGTCAGTCAACATGGCCACATCCTTACCTTTTACCCTAAATTATTATTTTATGACTTTTTCTTAGAAAATTCATAACTAAATACACAAAAATCAGAAAAATGATCCGAAAATTGCTACGACCTCATTGACACTCCATCTCCCTTGCTGAATTCCCCGATTAGTGGTTACGCATTCTAAAAAACAATTCCGAACATTAACGGGAGATGCTTGTTGAAGTAGGAAATATACTTGTTAAAGTGAACAACATATATACTTAGGGTTAAGAGGAAAGTGAGTTATGTAAATCATTTTTGAATTTTTAATTGCGAAATGGATGATCTATGGGTTCCCCTCGTTTTATAACGTCACACGGAGGCCGGAGTATTTTTCGGGGCTTTTTTAGGATTTTTCTACTATTTATTGCATTTTTTCAAAGATTTTTGCACAAAAAAAGCCAAAATAATTGCCACATGGACACCTGGCGCGATCTCAGCCCCTCACCTTTCACCCCTTGACAAGTGTGCATCAGTCAACATGGCCACATCCTTACCTTTTACCCTAAATTATTATTTTATGACTTTTTCTTAGAAAATTCATAACTAAATACACAAAAATCACAATAATGTTCCGAAAATTGCTACAACCTCATTCACACTTCATCTTCCTCCTCAATTCCCTGTTTCATGGTTACGCTACATTAGTATTTTATTATTATTTATCCAAAATTATTTTTATTATTATTGTTATATTACTTGTTAGCTTGTACATTTGTTAATTATATTTACTCCAAATTTGTAATTTTATTTTTATTTTCCGTGTGAATAGACCATTTCTGGTGCTAATCAGTTTCTCTCTTCTTCAATTTGTTAATGTTTTTCTTTTTTAGGTGTAAGGGATGTTTTCAAACATAAAATGGAAATATACAAGCCATCCATTCTACAACATCAGGAAATAATTATTCAAAGTCTTTAACTGTTCAAGTTTTGCTTAAGAAACGTGTAACCCAATCATTTGGGATATGCTAAGTGGGAAAATGTCATTCCCAAGAACCGGTGAAAAGACACATACTCACTTCATGCATGCGTTTTCGTTTACCAAATATTAAGATTGCAGTTGTGCAAAATATCTGTGTCAGTAAAATGTCATTCTTAGCCGTCAATTATGTCAGTAATAATTCCACTATATAGCAAATATTATACATTTATATATAAAACGGGCTAGGACAGCACAAACACCAGACAAAATAGATTAAAACATGAAATAGAAAACAACATGTGTAGAACATAGACACGCATAAAAACCGTAGAAACATACTCCAACTAATTATAAGGGTATGGATTCCCTGGCACAACATAGACACGCATCACCTTGAACCAAAAAACACTCTCACGGTGCCATTTGCATCGATTGCAACAAGTCCAGAAGGCAGGATTGATCTTTTCTTCACTAGGCCAGCCTGGAATAACAAAACACCAGTCGTTGTTGTTACAAGCGCTGCACTGATTGAACTTAATCTTCCCATAGTGAAACATATCTACGATATGTCTTCCAACAGAGAAAATTCCGCTTAATCGTCGTCTCAAAGCATCCCTGGTTCCTTTCATATCAATGTTGTTACGTTGATTCAAAGAACACAAGAATTCCAATGCATCCTCTTTTGACTGACCAATTCCGGACATGCCAAGTAGTCCAACTAGATATGACGCTTCCATATGGCCTGCCGTGGCTGCAACGCGCATCCCAGACAATGCTTCCACATTACCCTGCCTGAAAAACATGTCGAACGCTTCTCTAAATATCGCCTCAGGGTTCTGGCAAGCCCTGCATTGGTCCACGAAATGCCGGACCTGCGCTGCGGCATAGTACCAGTTAGGATGGTCTCGGTACTTTTCCATTGAAATTGTGTTCCACACTTGTGGAGTGTTTGCCAACGTATTGAACAATCGGCACACACATGCCATACGAAAGAGATCTTCCGATGAGTTGGTTGCCACGTATAACATCACTTTAAACCAAGCTAATTCCGGGATGAAGGCTTGAGGCACATCCGGATCGCGATGCTTCCTTCTCTTTCCTCCGACTGTAGTGTAATGTTTGGAATTCATTGAAATATTTTTGGAATGGAACGATTTGAGGACTGCAAGAGGGGAGAAATGAGAATATACGGGGTTTTGGGTTTGTTTTAGCCTCTGGTTGCACTGTTCTGAAAAGGTGTTTCCTTGGGGTTTTACCAAGTTGACACTTTTTAAAGAAACTGAACTCAACACCCAAAACATAAGACAGGCGAAGGGAAAACGTCATCAAAATGCAAAGGGAGTCAGACCGTCCAAAAGTCAATTAATAACCTATTTCCATAGCCATTGTTAGGCTTTTCCCGCCATTAAATTCATTGATACAAATGTGATGGATTACTGACTAGTGACAGAAGGTCCCATCAGATACTTTTTCATTTTCCCACACCACACTACCCCTATTAAATGACGGATTCTTATCCAACTAGTTGCCTTAATGCAATATAAAGAAAATAATATATTTAAAGCAGTGTCCCCTCAATTGTAAGATTAATTATTGTTTGTGAAATAGTATATCGCTTATCGGAGTAAAATGTGTCACAATTCTGACGGTACAGGTGTCCAGATCGTGACCAACCCACCCACACACAGAAAAGAAGGATATAATTCGATTTGGGCAGAGATGAGAGAGAGCTGAGTGAGAAGTTTAGGGTTATGACTTATGAGTGAAGGGGTATAACTCAGAAGGTATGAGTCCGAAGAGGTTTTAGTGAGAAGATCTGAGTGAGAAGAGGTACAAGTGATAAGATTCAACATGTCTTCGTCTTCATCTCCCGCTCAAACAAAGAGGTGTCAGTATTGTGGAGCTGCAATGGTGCTTCGGGTTTCAAAATCAGATAAAAATCGCGGGAAGGCATTTTGGAAGTGTCTAACCTCCTATGTAAGTTCTCATTTCCAGAATATGTATGTGGGTGAAAAAAAATCCTAGGTCTAACTCTGACAGAATTATTTTGCATATATGATGCCTGCAATTAGGGAGCCACCAGCTGCAATGGATTCGAATGGGTTGATGTAACCTCCGCTGAAGCAGATCAGCAAGCTGACACGTATGATGCTACAGTGCTTAATATGCTGAAGTCCATTAAGGACTTGGTATTAGTTTTATTAGTTGTATCAATTGTCATATTATTTGTTCTTTTAATGACCAATTAAGTGCACGGTTTCAAGGATTGTAAAAGTTCTCCCCAAAAACACATGTTGCACGCACCACCAATGACTTTTCAAACCCAATTTGTAATTTTTGTTATTGAAATAGGTGGATTAGCATTGAGTTTAAATTATTGTTTGAAACAAAAGCATTTACTTGTCAGAAACCCAGTAAAAACTTTCCTACAGTTACTTTACAAAAATAAAGTCAGACGAAGACGATAAAATGACAATACAGGGCCAATACGATGCAATAATAAGACAATACCTTTTTTTTAAGATTGCATAATTATTCAGTGTATATAGATTGTTTATTGATTGTTTACTGCATGTAAATCGCATGATATTGACTGTTTATTGAAGGTTCATTAACTGCATGTATTTCGCATGTTATTACTCCGATATTGAGTGTTTATTGAAGGTTTATTGATTGTTTACATGTTTCGTGAAGGTTTCATGATTGTTAACTGCATGTATTTCACATGTTATTGAACCGATATTGAAGGTTTATTGAAAGTTGATTGAGTGTTTACTGCATGTATATCGCATGTTATTGCTCCAATATTGCAAGTTTATTGGGGGCAAAAGTAGGACTCCAGTTAGATTTAAGGGGGGAAACGGTCCTTATTCTTTGTTTTCGTAGGAAGAACAACTTAAGTAGAATTTCCTATTCAATACGACTTCCTTATGGTTGATGTAATTGGGGACTGATGTATATTGCATGTCTATTGCGTGTATATTTCATATCTATTGCGTGTATATTGCTTGTCTGTTGCCTGTGTATTGTTATTTATTTCCGTCGTAAGCAATACAAATCAATACAGACGCAATAAATGTAAAGATATGCACGCAATAGACAAGCAATATAGACCCAACAGACATGCAATATAGACGCACCAATATACATTACTGTTATGTTACTCAGCTGCCCAAAACCAATAAAATAAAGAAAATCAACCAATTTATTAACCGATTATAAAGGAGAGAGGGATTCAAACCCGAGGGGCAGTGCGGAACCAATAGGGAGTTTTTAGAGCATTGCACCTGGGGACATTTTTTCATGTGTTTCTATAAGGAGGGCATGGTTGAATAAAATATTGGAGGCGAGGCCATAGCAGCCTATTCCCCTTACAGAATTACCTTAAGATGCAACCCATTGCGATTAAGTCAAGGCATGTTCAACGGCTTAAAGATTGGGATCTGATATTTGGAATGGTGGCTTGGATAAATGATGACATATCACTTTGCAATGATGTAATACACTTAAAAAGCCATCAGTCCGTATGTGAATATGCATTCTTCAAATCCAAATTCACATATGCAGTCTTCAAATCCCAATTCAATGCAGTTTGGTTGAGGTTAGGTAAATGTCGTGAAGGAGTTAGGCCAATATTACACCGATGTTTGTTTCATTACATCAAAAAAAACTTTACACTCCATATGCACATTCTATGTATGGGAATGGCATGTGTCTAACTTCAAAAACGCATCTGCCTATCCATTTAGATTGCCCACGTGCAATAGATTTACAGATCCAGTTACTTTTCTCCTCTCCAACCCTCAGCATCTCCATTTCAGAGTCTTCATTTTTCTATGCTCTGCAACCAGCTCCATATACATTTTGCACAATATGAGAATACACATAGCGTAATATCACACTAATCAAAATGAAAGCATGCATCCGCTATAATATTTGCCACTATTTTGGTTCTAATTGTTATTGTCCAGTAACTTAAATCTAAATTTCTGTACACAAATACACTAAGATTGAGAAAGACGAAGAAGAATTCAGGAGCAGAGGTGGAATTCGAAAAGGACCCATGGGTCTCTATTGTGTATTTACATGACTTTGAAATTTGACATTCCCAAAACCTATTTCATCATCATGTGCCTAAACCAAGTTCAACCGATATCATGGCATGTAAGCATCTCCCCGTGCAATTTCTGCAGCCAACTTCAACCGAAAAAAATGGCATGTTCTGCGAGGTGCAAGTAGCTAAGGAAATCTCAGCACTCAACAGCTCAATGTACTTCAACACGAACATACCACAATCGCCTCTGAAGCAAAACAAGAACTCGATCAATTCAACTAATGACATTCTAACATAATTGACAAATTAAAGTAATAAAATTAAATAAAAAGTTGTGCTCACTGATTAGCCTGTTGTGGAACATCCACACGATGTATTGGCCATGGACACCACCAATCTCGGGTGCACTCGTTCGCGTAAACACCTTCTTCATAAAAGTCGAGGGTGTGCAGAAGATTTGGAATCGTAATTGACAGGGGGCCGAGTTCTTCCTTTAAGCTCTGATCTGGAATGAGTGAAACCATTGAATCGTAGACTTTGATTTCACACTGAATCAGATCAATCTCTAGAGCCACCCAATGCTTATATTTTTGCAACATACAAGGTACATACACCTTATACGTGTTCTGCCAATCCAATCCACAAGCCGGAACCTTGCCATTTACAACGTTCACTAAACTGGTTCTAATTTTCCACCCAACTTGCTCTTTTTTCCTTTTATTATCCGCAAAGCAAGTATGGATGTGATTCTGTGAAATAGAAAACAATCAATGGTTAAACAACTCCACAAAGCAAGTATGGATAATTTGTAATTATTAACTGCACTTGGTCAAGGCCTATGCCATACTGATGTAGCACAGCCCTGGGTGTGTTAGTTTAAACACTTAGAGCAATAAGACATAACAGATAAGAAAAGCTGAAGGGAAGAAAAGGTAGAAGGCAGGCAGAAATCAGAGAGTTTAAAGGAATGTTTAATCAATATTCAAATATGAATTGTAAAGAACTACACAGGGGTATTTATAGCAAACTAAAACCTAGAGAGAATAGAATTAAAATCCCCAGGTAAAACAGAAATCCTATTCCTAATAAAATAGGAAACTTAGAAATCCTAATAGGATTTGGAAAACTAACTTAGAAATCCTACTAGGATTTGGAAAACTAAAGAATATAGGAAACTAACCAATAAATTAGGAAACTAAACAATTTAGGTCCTATGCATCCTGCATCACATACCATAAAAAATACATCGGTCGTTGTCCAATCCGATATTTCTACTTCCTCCAACTGTTGTTGTCGCTTCCGGATGAGATACAAGCCCAAATCAATGTGCTGCACATGTTTTCCTTGTCAATCTCATTATCTATGCACATTCAAACAAATGCATAATCAATTAAACTTACATCTCCTTTCAGCCAGCCGTCAGCTTTGACGAGGGAAGCGAAGAATTCAATCTCAGCTTCCACGTTGCCAAATTGCATCACCAAACTATGAATATAAAAAAGTTTTAGAACACAACAATTACAAAATATATACACTCATGCCTTCTATCTCAAAAAACAAAGGACTTACTTTGGGTTATGGCGCCATTCCGAACAAAGTTTCAGCAATTTCACCATATCATCATGCGGAATCGCCTTCATTGGGTCTAACGTCCGAAGTCCGGTTGTCTTTGGCAAATTTTTTTAACCACTTCACTAGCTTCAACGATCTTCCACATAGGAATAATCCTCTTCCTCTTCCGTAATTGGACCCCTCGTTCCACACCTTGACCTTCATCATTCAACCAAACGTTCAACTGAGATAACACAGCTCTAGGTTGATCCAAATCAATGTCCCCGACAGTAACCTCAACCTTTGTCCCCTCCGTGCTCTCGCCAATGTCATCGCCAACCAACATAACTTCATCATCCTCTTCCTCACATTGGTTTCTTTGCACTTCCTTTTCCTCACTTCTCTGTCTTTTCACTTCCTTGCCCTTCCTTTTTTTTTTCGGATCCTCTCCCTCACTGCTTTTTCTTTGCAGTTCTTCCTCTCCCTCAATGCTCTTTCTTTGCGCTTCCTCTCCTTTGCTGCTTTTTATTTTCACTTGCTTTCCCTCACTTCTTTTCCTTTGAGCTTCCTCTACCTCCCTTGGTTTTCTTTGCACTTGGCCTCCTTCAATCCCCTTCTCTTCCTTTTCCTCTCCCTCATTTCTCTTACTTGGCACTTCACCCCCTTCAATCCCCTCCTCTTCCTTTTCCTCTCCCTCATTTGTCTTACTTGCCCCTTCACCCCTTTCAATCCCCTCCTCTTCCTTGTCCTCTCCCTCATTTCTGTTATTTGGCCCTTCACCCCCTTCAATGTCCTCCTCTTCATTTGCCTCTCCTTCATTTCTATTACTTGGCCCTTCATCCCATTGCATGCCATCCACTTCCTCATATCCCTTAAATAGATGTGACACGACACAACGATTCGTCCTCTCTTTCAGTAAAGCTATGTCCCTTCTCACTTCCTGCTCAAAATGAGGACCTAAACAGTGGCCCAAATTTTTTTCCATCCGTATGACCTTTAACTCAAGGACGTCCTTTTCCCGCTTTACTTGAAACAACTCGGACCTCAACAAGCTTACCGCCTTGTTCAACTCATCAAGGTCAGCACATGAAGAAGGAATTGACTCTGCCGAGACAACAGCAGGGCGACCCTGTGGCCAACTCCAATATGGTTGTCTCATTTCCTCTTCACTTGGACATAGCGCCCGCAACTGAACTGACTGTTTCAGAAAACAGACAAGAGTCATATGCAATCATTCTACTTCATAATTTCATTGAATCTTATAAATAGTTCCAAGGGCTGCAAACCAAACCTCTTTGCTCTGGAAAAAATAATTGTTCAACTTTCTCATCTCGGGAACAGACGTAGTAGTTCTCCATCGCAAAATACGCGGGAGAGCTGTCGGATCAACAACCTTGCAGTAATTCAGGTCCACCATTCTAGGAATTAATTCATATACCCAAATCTACACAATTCACAGGACACAAGTTATTATTTAAGTTTTAAAGTCAACAGAACATAACGACATGAACATTATTACCATGTACCTGGAAAGCATACGTGAAACCTTTAAAACTCCAGCCACCCCTTTGCACTTCACCATGGTTATCCTTCTTGCCCTTCTCATTTCTCCGGCTTGTTCCGGTTACCTTACATTTCCCCTTCCCTCTTCCCTCTTCATTTTCAAAGCTTTTCACATACTTTGTTGGTGCAGAAAACAGACTGTCTTGGGTTTTGTCAAACGACACCGAACCCCATGGAAACCTGTTGAACGCATCCAAGTCCTCTACAAGGGTCAGGTAATTTAGATTGATGTTCAAATGTTTGTCCCTTCCCAAAACCACTAACTCAGCAAAGTAAACAAGAGCTAGCTTGTAGACGTCATCTTCCTCTGTGCACCTCACAAATGCTTCTTCTAAAGCATTACATGTAATTCCTTCGTCTATAAAATATCTTTTCTGAAGTCTAATTTCATCACTTTCTCCACTGGAAACTTCAGGCACTTCCCCAAAACGAAGCCCTGAGATCAAACAGAAATCCTGACGAGTGAACTGAGCAACGTCGCACCCTATTAAGAAACTCAGTCCATCCAAGTCTTTCACACCCTGCCCCGCTACTCTACGCAACACAACCCCATGCACAATCTGCCCGCTAAACTGAATCTTATCTATATTCAGAAGATGGCCAAAGCATGATGTCTTGAATTGTTCTAATTGTTCGGCACTCAACTTCGCTCGAATTACAGCTAGGGATGAATTTGCATGTGAGCAGTTGTTCACCCGTGAGGAATATGCCTCTGACTCTGGCCATACCAGCTCAACGTTGGATCCCATTTCCTGAAATACAAGATGAAATAACGTGAACACATATACTACCACGTATTTGCACAATCACATTGGTATTTACACAACTAGTCAACCAGCACATTACAAATTTTACAAAGTACATGCGCATAGGGATTACTGATCACAGGCTTTAACATCATCAAAGCAATATGACATATTTTGTGCAAATACCTGTTAATGCAATGATTCTGTGAATTACAAGCACTAGCATGTGTTTTATTTATGGATCCAAACTCCAATCAATGGTTGATGCATGAGTGAGTGTGAGTGCAATCTAGGCAAGTTCTGCACTTCACACACATGACAATTATTGTCATTTCATACACAACACAAAATAAATAAATAAATAAATGAGAAAGATGGTGGAAGGAAGCAAAGCAAAGCATCTGCTCGCTAAGCCATTGCCACATCCTTCTTTCTTTCTAGCTTTTTCTTCAGTCAGCCATAATCGTCATAGATCAACCTTTTTTCAAATGCTTTGCACTTTTATTCATGAGTTTATTATTATCTGTTCTCATTTTTAACAGGCAAATTTAGTAACAACGGAAATAATATTTATTTCAAAAATTATATATATTCTAGCTCCAGAGAGATAATCTGCACTCTGCACTGCTTCAAATGTGGAAGGTTTTGAGGGCCTCCTCCAATTCAACACCATTACCTTATTCATATCATTATTGACATGTTATTGACATGTTATTGACTTTATATTCATTCGTTTTTTAACATATACCCAAGCAAAAATTAACATGCAAGTGAAGCACAAAGAAGAGATGCCAAATCTAACAACATTCATGCTACAAATTGGGGAAAACGGTTACTCTAACCCTAAACTCAAATTCCATAAATTACTCACCAAATGCTGGTTATTGAACAATCGCAAGGTGTCTGTGTTGGGTCTTTGTGCGGCTTTGCTCCACAAATGGAACCTATCACTTCCAACGAATACGGCTTCTCTCCTTCCCCTTCCACTGCTTCGTCTTCACTGTTTCAGAATCCACGCCTTTGCTCCTTCCACTCAAAATAAATACTTTTTCACGGTTTAGATAGTGGAGTTGCGTTCAACCGTCGTTAACCTTTGCCTTCAACCGTCGTTGCCCGTTGCCTTCAACCGTCGTTGCCCGTTGCCTTCAACCGTTTCTCAGAGCTTAGCGGTTTCTCTCAGCTATGAGTTTGAGATCAATGGGTTTTTTCTGTTCAAACTTCGAACTTGCCTCTCTTTTTTTTTTTGTTGGGACCAACTTCATTGCTGGATATTAAATTCGGGTTTGGGTTCCTCACCTACCCGATTGCACAACTTTATCCCAATTCTCCCCAGCCCTTCGATTGATCCAATGACTATAAAGTGAACCCCTTATAACTTACCCCTTATAACTTACCCCTCATTATAGTCTGGCCGATTAGAAACCCCATTTGATCATTTTGGGCTAAATCCAGCCCACATCTCTACAACCAATTTTTTTTTCAACATTCTTTTTTGAGTACAAGTGATAATTTCTCACACACAACCAATTTTGGGGCTCAAACTTGAGACCACTAGTCTGTAAATTAAGACACTTTTTCACTGGACTAGAATCTCTTGACATCGTTTTTTTTCTTCTTTAAATATTGGATATCAATCAATTTTGTACAACAGTTCCATTAAAAACAAACAAACAAACAAGCTTGATACAAAATTGTAGAAAATACAAGTAAATAATACATCATTTTGGAAAACTTTAAGAAGTTTTCTTTATTAATAGTGGTGAGGGGATTCGAATTTGGAACATCTTTCAATATTAAGAAGAAAGAAAGTATTTTTTTTTCTTTATACAATCGATGGTCTAAACTACTTTAAATTACAAAAATAAAGATCAAATTTGATTGGATTAACTCACTGTTTAGGCCAACAAATTTGCATTATTGCATTAACGGCTAAGCAAACACTATTTAATTAATAATAGGAAAAAGGCAAAACAAACAAAAACTGAAACGAAGTGGGCATATGATTCGCTCAAAGTGGGAATATTTGATGTCGTACGTTACCTTTTGAAAAAATTATTCCATGCGCATGCAACTGACACGTTAACTTTACTACAGGTCGTTTTAGTTTGCGTATTCACGACGCTCACGTTCAAGAAAAAACAAAATGACTTTAAAGATGCCTTTCCAACTCCTTTTCACACGGTTGTTTGAAACAATTACGGCTTTTCAGAAATAGGTGCATTCCAATCTGACATATTATATAAAAATTCTTGTACGTATTTGAAGAGAAAAATTCAAAATTATTTATGATTCTTTAAATTACGGAGTATGATTGGAGTTCAAATTTTATAAAGAGCACAAATAACTTTTGTGTGTTTTGAGCTAAATTTTAAATGAAAAATAGAAAGTATGATTGTAGATGCTCGAAGTACCCGAAGGATAAATAGTAAGAAATATAAGGACCACATTGCAAAATAGATTGTTCTAGAGACTAGACTTGGTAGGTGGGGAGGTAGTCTATTGGTGTATATAAAGGGGTGAGGATGTGCACTATGACCAAAAACAAACAAGAAGAAGGAGACAGAGAGGAGGGAAAGGGAGATTGGAGCTACTGGGAATTGTGGGAATGGGCTGTTTGGGATGAAAGAAAATCACTAGGAAAATTTTCTTGTTGATGTTTTCTTCCCAAGCCCGCCCATTCCAATGATTTCCAGCGGCTCCTCCCTTTCCCTTCCATCTCTATATTGAGACTTATGTTCTAATGCAGATTCAAGACCATCGGATCTCAAGGTATATACAGT